ATCAACAGATGAAAGAACACGAGAACCAGTTAGCTTTGCTCCAGCGTGAGATTCAGAGAAAGAATGCAGTTAAAGACTGCGCTTTCAAGGCAGATTTTGAGACAGCAGTGAAGGAGTGTCAGAACTCTCGTGACTTCTCCTCTCGGAGCACAGGGCCGCTTCACTCAGCGGCTACATCTTCTCTGCTGAGATGGCCTCAGGAGCCACAGCAACCGCAAGAAAAATGGTCCCATCTGATTGTTGAACAGAGACCCAAGGACGTGCAGTTCTGGCAACCAGGATTGTCACGGGAGAAGGAGAAAAGCCAGCAGTGTTACTCTGAGTATTTTTCTCAAACGAGCACTGAACTCCAGATAACTTTTGATGAGGCCAGCCCTATGACGCGGTTGCCAGGGATTGAGAAGCTGAGAGATCAAGTGCCCTACAGTTCTAGACTACCTGTCCGCTACCAGGATGACCAATGCGAAATGAACCTGGTGAAGCTATTGGCACCGCTCGAGGTATATTCGCAGGCCTGATCTGCTGTCTAATGTCAGTTTTCTTCTTTCATGTCCCTTCTGTGCTAGAAATTTAAAAAAAAATATTGTCAAATGTCATTGGCATTTCTGCCAAAAGCCGCTGGGTTTCGAGATTTGTTTCTGAGTCTCTGGGATCATGGCCGTTAAGCAGTTCAATCAGGAACCAGAGAGGCCATGCCTCTAATTATATAGCTGAGCCGGAGATGGTTTGTGGGTGTGTTTCCCATGTACTTAACTTTTCGCCGTTTACTTTCTTGGTAAACTTTGCCCCAAGTTTTTGGGGTCTGGCCAAAGGCACAGCAGCAATTTTGGGGTATCTGGAAGTCTGAAGGCGCCATCAGGCTGCTGATGCACTCACCTCGCAGGTACAGATTGACCTGCTGGTGGCACCGTACTCCTGACAGCATCTTTTTTTTAAACAAAAATAATATAGGAATATTGTTATTTATATATTATTATATTATTTTTTAAAATATATTCTTTTAAAAAATAATATAGGAGTACTGCTATTTTTATTATCTCATTCTTACTCTGAACAATCTGGCAGGCTACTGAATGTAACCTGCCCACACGGCAGAGTCTGGCAAACTCCCCGTGGTATACCCAATAATACTCCAAATACCAGTAACAATGATGGGTCTCATTCTCCTGAAAGAGCCTTGTATATGGCACTTTTTAAAGATCTCAGGGCCACTTTGGACAAACTGGCAGGCTACCGAATGTAGCCTACCCACACAGCAGAGTCTGGCAAACTCCTCGTGGCATACCCCATATGCCAAATACCAGTAACAATGATGGGTCTAATTCTCCTAAAGAGCCTTGAATATAATCTCAGGGCTAGGATGAAGGAGACGTTACTGGGGCCTGCTCGAGGCAATCGACGAATAACAGGATGGTCGTGATTCGTCATTGGCATTTCAGAGTCTTATCAGTAAACAAGACTGTCTTTTCCCAGTGATTTACTTGAACCTTTACTACAAATTATTCTCTAAAAGCTTCATCTTAAACAATGATTATAGTGTTATATTACTGTCATTGTCTTTTGGACAAAACATGATCATAGAAAAAACTGGGGAAAAAAAGCAAGAAGATAACATTTTTACACTCACAATTTTTCATCTGTTCTTTGAAAACATAGCAGCTTCACATTGTAATTATTATGTAAAGGAAACTTTGACTCTCAAAATAAGACTGCCTGTTCCTCAATCCTCCTGGCCTTAAATATTTTCCCCTTGATGCTGGAGTTACAGTACAATGGGTAGGGCCTTGCACACGACTGACCCAGGTTCGATCCCATCCCATGTGGGATGCACCTTCAGGAGTAATTCCTGAGTTCAGAGCCAGAGGTAACCCCTGAGCATCGCCGGGTGTGACCCCCACAAATGCAGATAAATACATAAATAAACAATCTCCACCTTTTTTCTTTGTTATGCGGGGTATTAGACTTGGATTTAGAATGAGCAAATTAGCCTAATGTTCTTTAGATAACTTTTAACATCTTATAAATTCCCATTACAGATAGCTAAGAACAAACAGTATGACATGCGTACAGAAGTCACGACATTAAAACAAGAAAAGAACCCAGTCCCCAATGCTGAAGAATGGATGCTTAAAGGCTGCAGAGCAACTAGTGGCCTCCAGTGTGACTTTCTAAAGAAAGACTCAGAACCACAGGCCTTGCAGAATGGTGATAGTGATGACGCTTGTTTGGTCAGGGATGATGAATTTCAGTTCCAAGGACTCCGACGCTCTGTGACAGCCCGACAGTTGGTCGAAGCTAGGCTTCTGGACATGAAAACAATCGAGCAGCTGCGACTTGGTCTTAAGACTGTTGAAGAAGTTCAAAAAGCTCTTAGCAAGTTTTTGACAAAGGCCACCTCCATTGCGGGGCTTTATCTAGAATCCACAAAAGAAAAGATTTCGTTCACTTCCGCAGCCAACAAAATCATAATTGATAAAATGATTGCGCTCGCATTTTTAGAAGCCCAGGCTGCAACGGGTTTTATAATTGATCCTATTTCAGGTCAGATGTACACAGTTGAGGACGCCATCCTCAAAGGAGTTATCGACCAGGAATTCAAAAGTAGGCTCCTGGAGGCGGAGAAGGCAGCTTTGGGATATCCGTGTTCCTCTAAGACATTGTCCGTGTTTCAAGCCATGGAGAGTAGAATGCTTGATAGACAGAAAGGCAAACATATCTTGGAGGCCCAGATTGCCACGGGGGGTGTCATTGATCCCGTGAGAGGCATTCGCGTGCCTCCCGAAATCGCTCTGCAGCAGGGCTTGTTAAACAATGCCATCCTGCAATTTTTACACGAGCCCTCGAGCAACACAAGGGTTTTCCCTAATCCCAATAACAAGCAAGCTCTGTACTACTCGGAATTGTTGCGAATGTGTGTGTTCGATGTAGACGGCCAGTGCTTTCTGCTGCCCTTTGGAGAGAGGAACATTTCCAATCTCAATGTAGCGAAAACACATAGGATCTCTGTGGTAGATACTAAAACAGGAGCAGAGCTGACTGCCTTTGAGGCCTTCCAGAGAAACCTGATCGAGAAAAGTACGTACCTTGAACTCTCAGGGCAGCAGTATCAGTGGAAGGAAGCCACGTTCTTTGAATCTTACGGGCAGCCTTCCCATGTGCTAGCTGATAGTAAAACAGGGTTGCAGTTCAGTATCGATGAGGCCACCGAGCAGGGAACTCTTGACAAGTCCTTGCTCAAAAAGTATCACGATGGCCTTATCACACTGACAGAACTTGCTGATTCTCTCCTGAGCCGATTAACTCCCAAAAAGGATGTGCAGAGTCCTGTTGCCGGGTACTGGCTGACCGCCAGTGGAGAAAGGATCTCTGTGCTCAAGGCCTCCCGGAGAAATTTGGTGGATAGGATTACCGCCCTCCGGTGCCTGGAAGCCCAAGTCAGTACAGGGGGGATCATCGATCCTCTTACTGGGAAAAAGTACCGCGTGGCTGACGCTTTGCACAGAGGCCTCGTTGATGAGGGCTTTGCCCAGCAACTTCGCCAGTGTGAGTTGGTCATCACGGGCCTCAGCCATCCGGTGACTAACAAGCCCATGTCTGTGGTAGAAGCTGTGAGTGCAAATATCATAAGTAAGGAAATGGGGATCCGATGCTTGGAATTCCAGTACCTGACGGGGGGGTTGATAGATCCACAGGCTCAGTCCCGATTGTCCTTAGAAGAGGCTCTCCAAGTGGGTATCATTGACGTCTCCATTGCTACAGAACTCAAGGATCAAAAATCGTATGCCAGACATATAATATGTCCCCAGACAAAAAGGAAACTGACGTATAAAGAAGCCCTAGAACAGGCGGACTTCGATTTTCACACAGGACTGAAGCTGCTAGAAGTGTCTGAACCCTGGATGACAGGAATTTCTAGCCTCTACTATTCTTCACAGTAGGACATGCATAGGAAACTTTGCAGTAGTGGAAACACAACTGATCCCGTGATCTGCCCAGTGCAGTGCATGAGATCAGTTAAATAGACATGCTAGGAATCATGTCGCACACTTGAACACAGTTTCTTTTGAGCTGGAAGTAGTTGACTGCTCAAAAGAGAAAGTCTTCAAAGTTGAAATAATAAATGATTTATTGCTCTTAATAATGGATAGACAATTTTCTTCAATCATATATCCTGACTACACATTATTTTTCCTACAATATGGGTGAGGCTTGAGACAGCACCAGCAAGTTCACAATAGCTATTCTTCACACTGAACAGATCTTGGTTCACTGGATCTAGCAAGAGTTATGTTAGCAATCCATTTATTAAATGGCCCTACACACTCATTTTTTGAGCACTTCTAAAAGCACCCTGAAATCAAAGAGAGATGTAAAATTGTTCCCACATCAATGATCCTGCAGCGTTTCAGGTTATCCTAGGGGGAGAAAAAAAGTTTTCTAATATTCTCTGTATAGTAACATTCTTTACATATTAAACACTTCCTAAGACTCCTATTTCTAATTAAAACTACAATTAGAAGTAGCTTGTGTGTGCGACTGCAAGTGCTTTTATATGTGTCAGAGGAGAAAGACTTTTCTTCTTTCTTTGTATTTTTTTATATGTATGTAGAGTTTATTTTTTTCAGCTTTCCTTTGGTACTCTTCAGGATTATCTGGTACTCTTCAAAACAATGGTGATTGTAATGCTAATACAAAGGCAGCAGTTTAAAGGTCTCCTAGTGCTTCATGAATAAAATTGCATTTTATATTTGTTATATTGTAAAAACCAGCTGGGAGGTCAGACGGACTGATCATTAAAGAATGCATCTCACAGCTTCCTATACTACTCAGACCTTTGGGAAGTATATCTGCTACATGATACGGTAAACATGGATAATGAAATGAATAAAATATCTCAATAACCTGTGTGATGAATTTTTACATCCGTGTTTTCTGTGAAGGGTTAGTTTAATCTCTCACTGAATCATATCTTTTTTTTTTTAACCAATTCCATCTATCAGAAGTCACTGGAAGAAGAAAAGAAAGAACATGTTGAAAAAGCCAAAGAATTACAGAAATGGGTATCAAATATCAACAAGACTCTGAAAGATGGAGAGAAGGCTGGAAAATCTCCCTTCTCTAAGCAAAAGGTATTCCTGTTCACCAAGGATCTACTTAGGAACAGTGGCTAGATTTACTGAGTTGATACAGTCCCACCTAATGAAATGCTTAATTCTGGGGCTGGATCGATAGTACAGCGGATGGGGCATTTGCCTTGCACACGGCCGACCCACGTTCAATCCCCAGCATCCCATATGGTCCCCTGAGCACCACCAGGAGTAATTCTTGAGTGCAGAGCCAGGAGTAACCCCAGCATAGCTGGGTGTGACCAAAAAACAAACAAACAAATAAAAAGCTTCATTCTTAATTTGTGTTCATTTTTATAGGCAGTTATAATAAGCATCAGAGAAACTCGCTCAAGGAATCAGTTAAGATACCAGAGCCTGACCATTAGACACGAGTCTCCATAAACTTTGCGCTGCTTTTCCTAATAGGTCTTGAGAATTACACAATAGCATGGCGAGTAAGTCCAGGCACCCCAGATTGCAAAGATAGGCGGTCTCATTCTTCTTAGCTTAAATAAATTTCAGAGTGACAGGAAATCCATCTAGGATATCAACATTTATTAGGGGCTAGATTTGGTTGATACTTTCCCGTGTCTTTTCGATTTCATAAAAAATCTATTCACTAATCAGCAATTCCAGATTGTTTCCTCGGTGAATTTTTTTAAAAGAAATCTTTTAAATTACAAAAAAATTAAAAAAATGAAACACTAAGAAAAAAAATTTTTTAATTGAAACAGTGTCATTTCATAGCATACGAGTTTTAGGTGTGCACATTTATGAAGCAACATCTGAACCAGAAACCTGATTCCAACCATTTTCCCCTGGGTTCTTAGTTCTGCAGGACTGTTGTCTGCACCTCAGTTACTTGGCACTGGTTGAATAGATGCATCTTGTGAGATATTAGATCTCCATGGCAGCTGATGAAGTGCCCCACTTTAGGGGTTTTGGTAGTTAATATGTCAATTCCCGAGTTGCGGTAGCTGGTGGTAGTACTAAAATTGCTGCTGCATCAAAAGAATAGATATATTCCGCTAGGTTAAATAACATTTTTCTCTCATCACACCTTTTCTGCACTGCCCTGCTGCCCTTTTCTGCCCTTCAGAAATTGCAGTGGTGTCATTTTCTATCGTTAGCTGTAGGAAGCTGTCATTAGCTGCTGCTAGCTGTGCATATCACGTCTCACTTGTCAATAGCAGAAATATATGTTATTGACAACTAAAGAGAGAGAGAAACTTCAGTGTCTTGTTTAATTTTGCCTTATCTGGGGTTCCTCTGGGAATTAATAGAATTTTTTATACCGGAATTTTTGTTCAGTTGGGGAAAAAATAATAATCCTTATATAAAACAATAATAATTATGGGCTGGAGCGATAGCACAGCGGGTAGGGCGTTCGCCTTACAAGCGGCCAACATTGCCGACCCGAGTTCGATTCCTCCGCCCCTCTCGGAGAGCCCGGCAAGCTACCGAGAGTATTCGATATGCCAGACACAGTAACAACAAAGTCTCCAATGGAGACGTTACTGGGCCCGCTCGAGCAAATCGACGATCAACGGGAGGGCCTTTATTTTTTATTTTTATTTTTAATAATTATAACTAAAAATAAAAATATAATTATAATTTAAACATAATTATAACTCATAATCCTGCACACTCTGTCTTATGTTGTTTGGAAGAAGTAAGTTGTAAAACAATCACGTTAGGTGTTTTATAGAATAATTCTTCAGAACACTTATATAAGCATACTTAATTTAGAATGCCTCTCCCTTTTTTCTTTATCAAATGGGAGAACTAAAATCGGGATATTAACGTCAGCAAGGATTGCTTGGGAGAACAAGACTTATAGAAACATGAATGACCCTTGGTGTCTTTTTATTCTGTAATTTTATGTTTTCAAAAATGTTTCTGGATCTTTTTTAAAACCAAGTAGGAACAGAAGAGTAGATCAATTCTTTTTTTTTTTTTGTCCTTTGCTTTTTGGGTCACACCCACTGATGCACGGGGTTACTCCTGGCTCTGCACTCAGAAATTACTCCTGGCAGTGCTCAGGGGACCATATGGGATGCTGGGAATTGAACCAGGGGGTCAGCCATGTGCAAGGCAAATGCCCTACCCTCTGTGCTATTGCTCCAGCCTCATAGATAAATTCTTTAGAATTCAATTTTTTATTGTATTTGAGGTTGCAGGTTGCTATAGTGTTAATGCTTGTGGTATATAGAAAACCACCGGACCTTACCACCACCAAATTGCAAAAGACTCTCCATTATGACACCACTGTCCTTACACCATTTTATGCCGAATGCCTCTTTCTGTCCCATCCCTCAGCTCCCTTCTCTGATGGCTAGGTAACCTCAGATTGTCTTGTTAGTGTGGATCATGTCCTAAATTATAAATCTTGAACGATACTTGATGGTCTCTGTCAAAAGAAATCTAGAGTGCTTTGATGTAGACAATGTGTCTTTCCAAAATCAACATGGTAGTGTGTATAGCTACAAAAATAAAAACTTTAAAATGATTCTAGGGGCTGGAGCACAGTGGGTAGAGCATTACCCTTGCATGCGACCAACCCAGGTTCAATTCCCAGCATCCCATATGGTCCCCTGAGCACTGCCAGGAGTAATTCTTGAGTGCAGAGCCAGGAGTAATCCTGTGCATTGCCGGGTGTGACCCAAAAAAGAAAAAGTAATGATTCTAAGTAGAAGATAAGGGGAGGGAACTCAACTTTTCCTTTTATCAGTCTGCATTTTCTCTACTTATTTAAAAGAAATGCATTTAATATTTGAAATAAAATATTCAGAAGATACATTAATGGTTTAAGAGAAAGTATTATATATGTTATAGATATCATGTACTATATACATATAATACATTAAGAGGCAGGAGTGATAGCACAGCGGTAGGGCGTTCGCCTTACAAGCGACCAACATGGCCGACCCGAGTTCGATTCCTCCGCCCCTCTCGGAGAGCCCGACAAGCTACCGAGAGTATTGGATATGCCAGACACAGTAACAACAAAGTCTCCAATGGAGACGTTACTGGGCCCGCTCGAGCAAATCGACGATCAACGGGAGGGCCTTTACATTAAGAGGAAGTATTAAAATCATTTTTTCTCCTCAAACACATCTTATTCTGAATATCACAGACTTTTGTGAGCATCTTAGTATAATTTAATCTTGACTTTGATCCCAGAGAATAGTATTTTCCCCACATTGTCAGAAGAGGCTCTAAATCCAGAAACTTGGGGGAAAGTACTCTTTTTTGTGTAGTAGTCTACAGGCAAATATCTTTTTGAGTTATGAGCCAAAGGAGAACACTGGGCCAGTCCTGACACTCTGGCCTCATGGGGTGATCAGATAGACTTTCAGTATCAGGGACTGAGAGAATGCAAGAGCTGGTTAATAATGCTGTGTTATTATTAGTTTTTTAATAAAAGTGATGGCATTATTGTTAGATTACGTAGATTTCGTTAACCATGCATTCCAAATAAAGTGCTCTTCTTGTCCTGGGCTCTAGAGTGATAATGATCAATGGTTTGGCTGGGGACTTGGAATCCCCCAGAAAATAAAACTATCCTTTGGGTCATGAGTTGCACTTACTTAAATTTAAGAATGACTTTGTCTAGTTTTTCTGAGGGGAAAGTTTGATGCATTTTCTTTATCTTGCAGATTTCCAGTGAGGAAATATCAGCTAAGAAAGAACAGTTTTCTGAAGCGCTTCAAACCATGCAGCTGTTTTTGGCTAAACACGGAGATAAGTATGTTGGTTTTTATGAACGGTTTTATTAGGAAAACGGTAGATTCATTTAGCAATGCAAAGATGTTAAGTGTTCTTTGAAATATTAAAAGTGGCACTCAATCACAAGTTTAGGGATTGGTATAAAGTTATATACTTTGCAATTTATTGTCTACTTTCAATATTTGCCCAAACTCGGAAATGTTCCTATTCTCCCTATAGGTTGCTGATAAAAAAAAATAGGTTAAGAGAGATTAAGAGTCTCTAGCTAGGGAGTGGTAAAGTCTGCGAGCCAATTCTAAGACTTAGACTTTGAAAGTATGTGTGACTGTTTTCTTTATTTTTTAGAACTGATAACTATGGCTAACTTATTTGTCACATTTTAGTTTTATTTGAAACACCGAAATAATTTATTTATTTCTGCTATTTCCTCAGGGAGAGAAAGAATCTATCCTTAATTCCTTTTTAGTTATGTCCTTTAGGTTTGTTCCAGGAAAATTTTGTATTGTACTTTAGAGAATCACATATACCTCATAATTTCATCTCTCGTAATCTTTCAGCTTATGTAAATTTCACCTTGAATTGTACCGTCCTCTTTCTGTGTTGGAGGTTGCAATTGAACTTTTCCTCTGTCGTTTGATAGGAAGTATTATTTTAAAAACTATATGCAGAGGGCTAGAGTGATAGCATAGCGGTAGGGTGTTTGCCTTGCGCGCGGCCAGCCGACCAAGCCGGGTTCGATTCCTCCGTCCCTCTCGGAGAGCCCGGCAAGCTACCGAGAGTATCTCGCCCGCATGGCAAAGCCTGGCAAGCTACCCGTGATGTATTCAATATGCCAAAACAGTAACAAGTCTCACAATGGAGACGTTACTGGGCCCACTCGAGCAAATCCATGAACAACGGGAGGACAGTGCTTCAATATATGCAGAAGACCTGCTGCTTGATAAACAAGTTCCTCCTTCCTCCAGTCCTTGTCTCAGGCAAGGGAAGAATTGCTAGATGATCCTTAATTTTCACACATCATCAGTCTACGACAAGCAGTATGTCGATGAGGCTGTATTTCATTTTATGCTGATCTGTTTATTGAGAAAAGTAGTTCTGCTTTATAATGCCTTTGAGCCTAATGGGTCATCTTTATCACTTGCATTCCTCTGACTTTCTGTGTATTTTAGAATGACAGATGAAGAAAGAAATGAATTGGAAAAACAAGTGAAAAGTCTTCAAGAAAGTTATAATTTATTCTTCAGTGAGTCTCTGAAACAGCTCCAGGAACCACAGACTTTAGGAGATAAGAAGGTAGAGGAGAAGGTAATATTATTTATTTAAAACATGAAACTATTTCAAGACTTTTTCATTTTATTCCAGAGTTACATATTTCAGTATAAATTAATGATCTGGAATTGTTTACAGGGAGAAAGTCTGAGTGAAGTTTGTTTAAGTATTTGGAGTGTTTAATTTTACAGAATTTATATAATTTTACACTTGCTATCATCAGTTTCTGTGGCATCTTAACTGCGCCTTGCATGGTTAAAGAGGAATCATTCATTTTCTAACTCTTCTCTTGAAAGCCTTTCTTCTACTGCTATTAGTTATTTTATTGTACCGATATAATGTTACAAAATAGCCGCTCGAAAGGTGACATTAGAGTGTTAAAGACTTTTTTTGATGTTCAGCCATATCCGTGGATTTAAATAATTCTAGGTCCTATGTTACAGTGGTATCTATCTTAAAATACAACAGAAATTTAAATTTGGCCCATCTCTAAACTTTTAACACTCGACAATACATAGTAAGAATGATTGATATTCAACACAATATCCAGTGTTCAAAAGGTTATCGTTGTATTCACTGTTCTTAATTCCTGGAATATTTTACGTACAATTTGTTGGAGGCATGGTTCTTTAATCTTTGACTCTCTGTGAAGAAGTTTGTATGCTGTAAACATCAATAGCATGGGGTTTGAGATCTCTCTCACGTCAGTAGACTAATCTCACCGAATTGCAGAAAGCATGATTCTCTTTCTAAGTATGTGTCCTATTCTTCTCACTCTCATCATTTTCTCCGTTGTGTCCTCACTAACCTTGTTATTGTACACAATATTAAGTTTTCAATTCACAGATGCATGTTGTTTTCAAAGCTTTATCACATCCTGTGCTGTTGAATAGATCACTGACATAGATCACTTGTGCCTTTGAGCTGCCTAACATTCACAGCCTTGCTGCATCTGGGTAAGTAGAGGATTTTTGTGTTGAAGTGAATTATTTTTTTCAAAAACCTTACTAAGTTTTATGGATTACGGCCAACACTCATCTCAGAGACTGACTGAGAATTCTGTTTGCCTTCCAGCTGGATAAGGTGATCGCAGGGACCATCGATCAGGCCACTGGAGAAGTCCTTCCAGTTTTTCAGGCAGTTTTAAGAGGCCTCATTGACTATGACACAGGAATCAGTTTGCTTGAGACACAGCTAATGATTTGTGGTATAATATCACCAGAACTAAGAAAAGGTTTTGGCCTCAAAGATGCTGAAAGGCTCGGCCTTATTGATGATCAAATTCTGAGCCACCTCAAAGAACTCAGTCAAGCCAAGGAGCTGATTTCCGCTGTGTCATCGACCACAGTTCCAGTTCTGGATGCTCTGGCTCAAGGAGTGATATCAGAATCCATGGCCATCCGGGTTCTTGAGATACTGATTTCCACAGATTTTCTAGTTATTCCAACCACAGGAGAACAGTTGACCCTCCATAAGGCCTTCCAGCAGAACTTGATTTCCTCAACATTATTTTCTAAAGTCCTGGAAAGGCAAAATACGTGCAGAGATCTTATCGATCCCTGCACCTCTGAGAAAGTATCATTAAACGACATCATGCAGAGAAGTATTTTACAGGAAAGCACTGGGATGCGTCTTCTTCCTGTGAGACCGCAAGAAGGCGGCAGAATAACATTAAAATGTGGAAGGAGCATAAGCATTTTAAGGGCCGCTCATGAGGGTCTCATCGACCGTGAAACCATGCTTAGGTTGTTAGGCGCACAGCTTCTTTCTGGAGGTCTTATCAGTTGCAACACTGATCAAAGAATGACTGTTGAAGAAGCTATGGCAGCAGGGGTGATCGACAGAGATATGGCTAGCAGCATCCTCACGTATCAGGTCCAAACAGGTGGCATTATGCAGTCAAATCCGGCTAAACGTTTGACAGTGGACGAAGCTGTCCAGTGTGATCTAATAACATCCAGCAGTGCTCTTTTGGTACTCGAAGCTCAGCGCGGCTACGTTGGACTCATCTGGCCTCACTCTGGTGAAATATTTCCTGCATCATCTTCCTTGCAGCAGGACCTGATTACAAATGAATTGGCATACAAAATCCTGGATGGCAGGCAGAAGATAGCTGCTCTTTATATTCCAGAGACTTCTCAAGTCGTTGACTTAGATGCCGCTACGCAGCTTGGAATTATAGACAGTAACACTGCGTCCATTTTAAAAAGTGTAACCCTTCCTGATAAAATGCCAGATTTGGGAGAGTTAGCAGCTTGCAAAAATTCCAAAAGATGGCTCTCTTTTTGTAAATTCCAGCCGTCTACTGTTCACGATTACAGGCAACAGGAGGATATCTTAGATGGAGAAGATTCGGTGGCAACTGAGAGCTCAGAACAGACTAAAAAACTATTTCTGTCTTATTTGATGATAAACAGCTATATGGATGCAAACACAGGACAAAGGCTTTTGATGTATGACGGGGACTTGAGTGAGGCAATTACTATGCTACTGGAAGACTCTAATGTAGAACATGATGAAGACATTCTCCAAAACGATCATCTTGATGTCTTAAGACTCCCAGGTGGATTTCTGAGTCATTCTCCAAGCAAAGAAAAGGAAGAAACTACAACTTCACCAAGTAGTTTTGATAAAATTCATTGCAAAGAACCTAAGCCAAAAGAAATCCCTGAAAATAGAAACTATGGCACAGATGAAGACTTTCATGAAAGGGAAACTAATGTTTTCAATGGTGAACTTGATCAGTTAAAAAATGGGGCAAATGTAATAGGAATTGAACATGAAATTGAGACTTTATCTAGTGTATGTGTTCCAAATTCTGTATCACATTTAAGACAGCCTGAACTTGCAGAAGGTGATATGTTTAAACAAGACTCTGAGTACCTTCGAGAAAACTGGGAAAGCCAACAAGTTGAAACAGATGAACATTCACATGAATGTTATCGTGCTGAAAGTGTTGAAAACTTTGCAAGTGATTTGACAAAAAATCATAACGCAAAATCAAAAACTCGTAGAATTAGTGATTTGGTTGAAACAGACAATAAAGATGATGTCAAGAAGGATTTGACTAAGTTTGACTATTCTCCAAGGTTAAGTGCCTTATTAAGTAACGACAAATTGAATTACCAGGGGAGTTTTAGTGCTGAAGTCAGCACAGAGGAAAATGGAAATAAATGTGAAGATGCTACGTTGCCAGTCAATAACCAAACTATCAATGACCAAACCATGTCACTGGGTCAATCAATGGGAGAAACTTTTCAAGATCATTTCCTGGGAATTGCAGCTATTAACATCAGTTTACAGGAAGAACACTTTGATCAAGAACCCATATGTGTTAGTTGTAGTGATTCTCAAGTCCAATATCATAATAAAGTGATTGCACATATCTGTGATGGAGATGAAAAGATGCACGCTGTTTCTCAGCCGAAATCTGAAGACAAGCTAAATGAATCCAGTATGAAGGCTTACTCCCATGCCATGACTTCAGGTACTGATACTGATCACGTCATCAGTGCTTCTAGTCCCTCTGATGTGCCATTATTTGAAGAGTCTGCCAGTGCTGGTGACTATGAAACATCATTACTGGACACGCAGCAAAGTGACACAGAAACAGACACTGGCAGTGATGATGACTTTTATGACACTCCCTTGTTTGAAGAGGATGGTCGTGATGGTCTGCAACCTGAAGACTGTAAAACACGCCAGGCAGAAAGTGATAAGGTTGCTCCTTGTGGTTCTGGTTTCCAAGATTTTGCAAAAGAGGATGGTAATTCTGTTGCTACCAAGAAGGAGCTAGTTGATCGGTCAGGTCTGAGGGAGGGATCACGATCTCTTCAGAATTTTGTCCCAGGTAGAGAGTCCACTGACTTGGACTCTGCGGGAAGAACGCACTTAAATTCAGGTGATGCGTACAACGTGAATGAACAGTCGGTAGAAACTATATTAGGAGGAAAAAGTACTAATAACCATGAAGGGGATAAGTCTGACTCATTGACTGATTATGGGCTTGTTGAAAGAAAAGAAGGCTTCAGTGCCTTGTTCGATGATGACACTGGCTGTTGGAGAGAGAGTAGCAAAGAGTGCTTCACTGGGCAAGAATTCAATTCAGATTCTGAATATTTAGATTCTGTGCAGAACGAAGAAAGTTATTGGGATTATACTTGTGACAGTAATGATCAGGATGATGAAGGTGACGAAGATGCTGATGATGCTAGTTCTGATGGTAATGATGAAGGAAGAGGAGGTTATGAGAAAAAACAGTCCATGTGCCATAATAAGGATGAAGAAGGGGATGTTCAGTTGTGTGCTGAAATCATAAATGTAAAGGAAAATAGTCATGACAAGCAAAGTATTAATAAAATGATTCTTCTGGATAAGATACCGAAGAGCAGCTCTTTAGAAAAACAGCCTGACTCAACTAGTGAAAGTACTTTAGTTACAGAAAGAAGCAACGATTCAGAAGATACAACTGAGGTACTTGGGAAAACTGAAAAATATCAATTGAATAATGAGATGGTTCCTGAAGATACGTTGCTTCCTGTCACTAAAGATCCTGGTTCAGAAAACACCCTTCAGCCTGTAGGATTTGTCCATAATACTACTGTAAGCTCAGCTTCCAGATCAGATAATGATTCTGTGAGCATGCAGAATGAGTTGGCTCAAGAGCCAAAATTCACTGATTCCATGAAAGGTGCAGATCAATGTTTTGAGAATGAGGTGCCTCAAGTTAATTCTTTTTTTAATAGAAGCATTAGTTCTGAGCCTCACTTAATAAGAAAATCTACTGAGGATAGCCACTTGTCACCCATAGCCTTTGTCACTGACAAAGATCATCCAGAAATTCGAAGGGATGTAATTCAAAAAGATGATCAAAATGGTATACTGAGAGAAGATGGGGCTTCCATTCATGGTGAGTGCTCGGGTGAAGGAGCAGAGCATATAGAAGGTGTAGTAGACAATGAGTACCTCAAGCGTGTGCCTTGTAACTTTGTAAGGGAGAATCTTGATTCAGTCAACAGCCAGGTCCCTTTCCCACAACTCACAGACAGTGAAGAACAGACTCCGAATGGAAGCCTTGAAAAAGCAACTGAAACTTTTCAAGTTGAACCCAGAAATCTACCAGAAATGGTTAGTGTAAGTCCTGTTCAGTTTGAAAGAACCTTTGGCCCATCGGTTTCTAAAGAGATAAATGATAGACTTACTTCAGACACTACATTGTCCAAAGGGAATACAAGTGTTAAGAAAGATTCACTGGATGGTGAGTGTGAAAAGAAGCTTGATCTATGTGCTGATGTAGAACATGATACTGAATGTAGAAAAACAAAAGATGCCCTGAAAACAAATGAAGATCTCCCAAGTTCTGTTCTGGTAGAGCCCCCTCCCACGCAAGAATACTTAAAATTAGGAATGAATGCGGAAAATCAGGCAGCTTTCACACAAAGAGACATACACAGAAGTGAGAAGGCACAAAGGAATGATCTTTTTAGTGTAGAAAGCATCTTAGAGGGAGGAGAAGAAACTCCAGGAAAAAGTGAAAGCACACTTTCAATCTTACCTCTTAAGAACACGGAAGGCCATGGGAAAAACGCAGATTTTGTGTCATCAGAACTCTGTACAAATGAGATAAGGAATGGTCACGCCAGTAGCGCTCTAAACACTAATGATTCTTACTTAGAAATTAATAACAAGAAGGAAGGGATTGAGCTGCAGCCACAAAAAGAACAAACTTTATCTCCTAAACTTCAAGGCAAGGAAGAGACTCAACTTCCTGAATTATATCAGGCTGTGGGTGAGAATGGGAAGAATCGTTTGAAAACTCCATTGCAAGAAGGCGTCACAAAGCCTCAAGAAGCGGAAGAGCCTTTAGCCTGCGCAGACACAAAAGTACTCCTGCAGAACTTAATTAAGAGAATCAGCACATCACAGTTGGCAAATGAAGCATCAGGTGCGTCGAGCGATTCTAAACTCACTGATGCTTCTGGAACTTGTGTCGTGAATGACTTACCAATACTGAAAGCAGAAAGTAGAGACGATCTATTGCGTATGGAAAATCTTCGATCTGAACTTCTGCTAGATCTACTTATGCAAAATCAGCAGAGCCCAAAAATCACAGAAACATTTGAATTGATGAAGGAACTCACTCAGATGGAGTATGGTCTCGAGAAAAGAGGAATTCCACCCCAAGGACTTCCCCTGCAACTGGAAAATATTTTCTACAAGCTACTTGCTGATAAATTCTCGGAGAAAGTAGAACACGTTGGAGAATTGAAGGAAACATCCTCCACTTTGGAGACAGCAGATGTAAAACCCTCTATTCTTGATGATCTTAAAAACAGAGAAGGAAAGTCCCGTGCCAAGAATGTACAAAATGCTGACGAAATTCAACTAGAAGATTCTACTGTGTGTGCATCAGCATTGCCAAGAGATGAGAAATTTGAGGAACTATGCAGCGATTTCCCAGACCAGGTGGAATATATTTCTAAGTCCAAAGATATGACTCCTGGAAATAACTCCTCCACGGAACCGGTAAGTGAATTGACACATTTATAGCTAACAAAGGCATAGAGCATTGGGGAATAATTCTACGTATTTGCTTAATAATTGCAAAATAACATTGAATTAAAATATCTAAATTCGTGTTTAGTTTTCCAGTGAACTGCAGCAGTGCTTACAGTACACATCAAAAATGAATGAGTATTTGGTTTTGCTTCAAGATATGAAGCCTCCCATAGACAGCCCCGAAACTCTGGATAATAGTCTTGAAGCTTTGAAGAGTCAACTTAAACACCTGGAGGTGAGAATTGTCTGCTGCCTTAAGCGCAGTCCTTTATTCTTATGTTTTGATTATTTTATGTGCTTTAATTCCCTCCCTTCCCCTTCCTTTCCCTCCGTTTACCCGGGTTTTTGGGTCACGGTGTGAATGACACAGTCAGAGACACTGAAATGCAAGTGCAAAAGAGTTTTATTCCAGTGAACTGGGGTCAACTATCTCACCCACAAAGTGGTCTCTTGATAGCGACCTCGACCTCCAAGTGCAAGCAGTTTATATCAATTCCAAGGTTGAGCAAGCGCTATGGTAGCAGCGATCAAGCAACAGTCATCGGCTATTTGTCAACATTTGATAACAGTCAGTTTCTGGTTGTTCCCCAAAAATGGGCATAGTGATCCCTCAGACCAGTCAGATGTTCTAGCAGTTCCTTCCCAGAAATTACAAGTTCAGTTTCTGGGAAACAGAAACTTAGGCTTAGTCAGAACTTAATGTTAGCTGTGGCCGGTCATGGCTGCGATCTGGCCCTAGGTTTGACTTTCGGGCACCTAACACCTCCACTCCTTCCTTCCCCTTCATCCCTCGTTCTTCTTCCACCCCCTTCTTTTCTCCCTCTCCCTTCATTTCTCTCCCCATCCCTACCCTTCCCCCCTCTGTCCCTTTTTCTCCTTTCGCTTTCCTTTCCTTCTCCTTTCCCTATACCTCTTCATTCCTGCCTTTCCTTTCTTCTTCCTTTCTTTCCTGTCTTCTCCCTTCCCTCCCCTTCCCTTCCCTCCCCTCCCCTCCCCTCCCCTCCCCTCCCCTTCCCTTCCCTTCCCTTCCCTTCCCTTCCCTCCCCTTCCCTCCCCTCCCCTCCCCTCACTTCCCCTCCCCTTCCCTCCCCTTCACTTCCCTTCCCTTCCCTTCCCTTCCCTCCCCTTCCCTCCCCTTCCCTTCCCTCCCCTCCCCTCGCCTCCCCTCCCCTCCCCTTTCCTTCTCTTCCCATCCCTTCCCTTCCCTCCCCTCCCCTCCCCTCCCCTCCCCTCACTTCCCCTCCCCTTCCCTTCCCTCCCCTCCCCTTCCCTTCCCTTCCCTTCCCTTCCCTTCCCTTCCCTTCCCTTCCCTTCCCTTCCCTCCCCTCCCCTTCCCTTCCCTCCCCTCCCCTCCCCTCACTTCCCCTCCCCTTCCCTCCCCTTCACTTCCCTTCCCTTCCCTTCCCTTCCCTCCCCTTCCCTCCCCTTCCCTTCCCTCCCCTCCCCTCGCCTCCCCTCCCCTCCCCTTTCCTTCTCTTCCCATCCCTTCCCTTCCCTCCCCTCCCCTCCCCTCCCCTCCCCTCACTTCCCCTCCCCTTCCCTTCCCTCCCCTTCCCTTCCCTTCCCTTCCCTTCCCTTCCCTTCCCTTCCCTTCCCTTCCCTTCCCTTCCCTCCCCTCCCCTTCCCTCCCCTCCCCTCCCCTCACTTACCCTCCCCTTCCCTTCCCTTCCCTTCCCTTCCCTTCCCTTCCCTTCCCTCCCCTTCCCTCCCCTTCCCTTCCCTCCCCTCCCCTCGCCTCCCCTCCCCTCCCCTTTCCTTCTCTTCCCATCCCTTCCGTTCCCTCCCCTCCCCTCCCCTCCCCTCCCCTCCCCTCACTTCCCCTCCCCTTCCCTCCCCTTCCCTCCCCTTTCCTTCCCTTCCCTTCCCTTCCCTTCCCTTCCCTTCCCTTCCCTTCCCTTCCCTTCCCTTCCCTTCCCTTCCCTTCCCTTCCCTTCCCTTCCCTTCCCTTCCCTTCCCTCCTGTTCTCTCTTTCTCTCTCTCTCCCCCCCACTCCTGCCCTTCTTCCCTTCCCTTCCCTTCCCTTCCCTTCCCTTCCCTTCCCTTCCCTTCCCTTCCCTTCCCTTCCCTTCCCTTCCCTTCCTTTCCCTTCCCTCCCCTCCCCTTCCCTTCCCTCCCATCTCCTCCCCTTCCCTTCCCTCTCCTACCGTTCCCTTCCCTCCCCTCCCCTCCCCTCCCCTCCCCTTCCCTTCCCTTCCCTTCCCTTCCCTTCCCTTCCCTTCCCTTCCCTTCCCTTCCCTTCCCTTCCCTTCCCTTCCCTTCCCTTCCCTCCTGTTCTCTCTCTCTCTCTCTCCCCCCCACTCCTACCCTTCTTCCCTCCCCTCCCCTCCCCTCCCCTCCCCTCCCCTCCCCTCCCCTTCCCTTCCATTTCTATCCCTTCCTCTTTCCTTTTCTCCTCCCTCCCTCTGCTCTTCTTCCTCCCCCTTGTGACTGGGGGCTCACACACAGTGCTTCTGGTGTTCACACACTCTGGTGCTCATGGAGGGTGTCCCACACTTTGGTTCTGGTACTTGCACAAAAGCTCACCAGGGGCCACGCTCTTTCAGTTGTGGCGTTTGAGCACATTCTGGTCCTAGTGGCACTGTAATCTCTGGATGCTGGAGGTTGCCCTCATGGCCGAGGTGCTCACACATCTTTAGTCATGGTGCTCAGCAGGGCTCACACATTTCAGTTGTGGTGTTCACACAGACCTGTGTGTGGGGGCCAGAGATCACAAATTCGGCTTGGATGCTCGGGTCCTTCCCTGTCGAGCTGCAAGGACTCGGTTGGCGCCTGTGGGCATTGCTGGGGATCAGATTCACAGCCTCCCTTGGGGGCTGGAGCGATAGCACAGCGGGTAGGGCATTTACCTTGCACGCGAACAAGCCGGTTCGATTCCCAGCATCCCATATGGTCCTCCGAGCACCGCCAGGAATAACTCCTGAGTGCAGAGCCAGGAGGAACCCCTGTGCATCGCCAGGTGTGACCCAAAAAACAAAACAAACAAACCAAAAAGACAAAAACCCACAGCCTCCCTTGGGCAGGTAAAACAGTCACTGCTGCCACTCAGACCTCTCCAGAGTTCCTAGTTGATTTTCTTCCTAAATTTATCTTACTTATTTTTTTTTATTTTAATTTCTATTAGTGGGACACTATGAGGTACAGTTGTAGACTTACAAATTTTTGTGCTTGGGTTTCAATTATACAGTGATCAAACACCCATCCCTCCACCAGTGTCCTTTTTCCACCACCACGGGTCCCAATATCCCTCCCACCCCCCATCCCCCCCATCCCACCCTGCCTCTGTGGCAGGGCATTCCCTTTTGTTCTTTCTCTCCTGTTGGGTGTTGTGGTTTGCAAAAGAGGCAATGGGTGGCAATTATATCTGGAGTTCTTATTTCTTCATTTTTTTAAGATGTTCGAATTGGGATTGGCTCCAGTTGCTGTTCTTTTGAAAAAAGACATGAAGTTGGTAGAAGAGTTTTTAAAGTCTCTTCCCGTAGACTTCCCTAAAGAACATCTTGAGGAACTGAATATAAGCCACCAGAGTCTACAGAGTGCCTTCTCTTCCCTCAGCAGTGTGACTTCAGAAAAAATGAAACACATTATGGTCGCAATTGACTCTGAAATGGTAGGTGTCAGAATATTGAATACACGCTCGGATGTGGAGTTGTGAAGAAAATGTGTTTAGTTAAAAATTTAGTCACAAGTTCAAGTATTTTATTTCCAGATTATTGAGCTTCCTCCTGTTGACATTTAAATAATAGGAATTCGGAATTTGGTAAAAGACAAAAATAAACACATGATTTTATTTCCTAGTCTAAATTAGCAGTTACCCATGAAGAATTTCTGCATAAACTTGAATCATTCTCCCACTGGATATCAGCGAAGAACAAATCTGTGAAGGATCTTCAGTCTGTTAGTGTTCAAGACACTGACGGTGTTAAGAAAAGTTTGGACTTTCTCAAAGTAAGTACCAAAATAGGCAAAGTGTATGCAAAAATTGGTAGACTTGTACAACAAATGTTTAGAAAGCATATGCGGTCTCTAGAATGTAAAAGGTTTCCTTTCTTTACGCAAAAGATTTCCTTTCTTTATGCAGTGTTTCTACGTAGTTGATAACTGAAATAATTGCAGTTTTATAGGATCTCATTCCGATGCTATGACTTAACAAATTCTTGCTACCACTGACATTTAAGATTTATATTTATCTGTTTTTCTGTAGAGTCTGCCCACAGGGCAGAGTCTGGCAAACTCCCCATGGCGTACCCAATATGCCAAATACCAGTAACAATGATGGGTCTCATTCTCCTAAAGAGCCTTGAATATAGCATTTTCTTAAAAATCTCAGGGCTAGGATGAAGGAGACGTTACTGGGGCCTGCTCGAGGCAATTGACGAATAACAGGATGGTCGTGATCGTGATCGTGATTTTTCTGTATTAGGCAGATATAAAATAATATAGACTTACATAATAAAATTAGTAATATTTTAGTCATAATTATATATATTAGTCACTTTTCCTGCCCTCCCCCCCCCGTCTTGATGGGGATGAGTAACTATTAAGTAATTATTAGATACCTAATAATAGGTTTGAGTTCTATGGGAGTCAAATTGTGAAATTTTTGTTTCATATTGCCTGGAGTCTCATTTATAGTTCTGTGGATACCGTAATTAGTTGTAGTTTTTTAATGTTGATAATTTCCCTTCAATGGATCTTCCCCTTTGGTTGGATTTCCATTGGAAGTGTGATGTGGCAGCCAAGGTTAATATTCCTAGAGGGATTATCTTTGCGTTGGCTTGAAGCTATCATAGTAATTACATAATTTCGTCATGGACATTTATCAATAGATGATGAATAGGTTTTTGTCTCAATGAATAATGAAAATATGTCAATAAACATTGAGTCTCTTGGAGACTGGAGTGATAGTACTGTAGGTAGGGCATTTGCCTTGCACACAGCCAACCCAGGTTTGATCCCCAGTACCTCATGTCTCTGAATATGCCAGGAGTGATTTCTGAGCACAGATCCAGGAGTAAGTCCTGAGCACCATTAGGTATAGCTTAAACCCTCTCCCCCCAAAAAATTGAGTCCCCAAAGAAGCAGCATATTTTAATATATTTTTATTGATATAACATGACATTGTCACTGCCCTCCCGTTGTTCATTGATTTGCTCGAGCGGGCCCAGTAACGTCTCCTTCATGAGACTTGTTGTTACTGTGTTTGGCATATTGAATATGTCACTGGGATCTTGCCAGGCTTTGCAGTGCGGGCAAGATCCTCTCGGTAGCTTGCTGGGCTCTGCGAGAGGGGCGGAGGAATCGAACACGGTTTGGCCGGGCTGGCTGCCCTCAAGGCAAACGCCCTACCACTGTGCTATCGCTCCAGCCCAACATGACATTATATGTTTTATATATGCAAAAGAAGGACAGTTTTAAATAAATACCATCATTAATATAAGCTTTATTTCATGGCATAACTGCTTATTGGTAACTTGCACTGCTTTGTTCACAGGATGTGCTAAAGGACCTTGGACACACCAAAGTGCAGCTGGAGGCGACTGCCTTTGATGTGCAGTTCTTCATTTCTGAACGTGCACAAGATCTGTCTCCCAGCCAGAGCAAACAGCTGCTGAGGCTCTTAAATTCAACTCAGAAATGTTTTCTTGATGTACAGGAATCAGTGTCGACCCAGGTGGAATGTTTAGAAACTCAGTTACAGCTAGAACAAGATCTTGATGATCAGAAGGTTTGTAGATAACCGCAAATTATGGCATGATAGGGAAGATTTTTCTGGAATGGCACTTGATAGAATATAACATACAATTGAGAGGACCTTTAATACATAGTGTTGTTTCCCATGCTAAGGCTCTAATTAGTAGGTTTAAGTTCATGACTTCCTAAAATGGTTTTCAGGTCACAATCCGAATTTCAAGGAGTAGGAAATACAGATGCACTCAGAAATTTTAAAGTATTGATTGAGAAACAAATATGTAAAGGGTTAGGATATCTTTTTCCTTTGGGAAGTGGGACAACATGAGTTTATACAACTGAGTTTATATCCCAGTTGAACTTAATCCCTCTGTAATCTGGGCCAGACATTACCATTTTCTCATTGGTGAATTAGAAATAATACAGGAGCATTGGGCTGGAGCGATAGCACAGCGGATAGGGCGTTTGCCTTGCTTGTGGCATTGCTGATCAGAGTTTGATTCCTCCGCCTTCGAGTCCTCTGCTCCTCTCTGAGAGCCCGGCAAGCTACCTAGAGTATCTCACCCGCACGGTAAAGCCTGGCAAGCGCCCCGTGACGTATTCGATATGCCAAACACAGTAACAGCAAGTCTCACAATGTTACTGGGCCCGCTCGAGCAAATCGATGAACAATGGGAGGACAGTGACAGTGATAGGGGTATTGAATAATACCTGGTAGTTTTGAGCACTGATTAAAGAATGAATGTCAAATACTTAATATTTTGCCTAACTTGTATTACAATATTAGTAAAAGTGATCTCTTGCTAGAAAATGAATAAGTAGTGTTTTCGTAATGGGAAAATGAAAGATGCAAGCAATTACTATTGAGTTATTTCTCTATGAAGCATGAAAATTAATGTATATTTATATGGGTTTTATTAAGGCAGTATATTTATAGATGGCAGTATAAATGCAATTAAATAGAAAGTGTGACATCGGTATTAAGAAGTGTAAGTGGCAGTGGAATTAGAAATCAGCTAAGTGAAAACACCACAGTTCTCTTTTATTGTTTCTTGAAGCAATTAGGCTTTGTCTCTAGCATGATGACCTTTATACATATGTCAAGTATGTTAACAGACAAATCACTACTAACTTCTGTTTTGATATCCTTTTGCAGAATTAATTGTGTGTGTCGCAGGTTTCAAGAGCTTAAGAGAAAATGGAATGTTTCTTCCCGCGGGTCGGAAGTTTCATCTCTCGCATAGATGCATGGCCAGTATTCTGTTGAGCTGTTTCATCTAAACATGATCCCTTTTTCCTTGTGTTTGAGACTTTCTCTTTGTTTCTGTGTCTCCTCGCTCAGTCTGCACCCCACTGCTATCATGTTTACAGCATACAAGAAAAGCGTGTGTAGAGGAAACTTGCAAAATGTGTTCTAGGGGGCAATGATGGTAGTGAGGCGTTTGCGATCACACGCGTAAGATGCTTTGGGTTTTCTCTGCTTTAGACAGTGGTGGCTCGACGGCAGGAATACAAGGAGAAGCTCCAAGGGATATGCGATCTCCTCACCCAGACTGAAAACCGCCTGATTGGCCACCAAGAAGCCTTTGTGATTGGGGATGGCAAAACCGAGTTAAAGAAGTACCAGTCCAAGCAAGAGGTAGGAGCTGGTTTTTTGCATCAGTGAGCCGGAGTCGCTGTAACTCTGGCAACTCTTCGGCAGTGGAAGTAGCAATGGTCTTAGCTTTCCCCAGGCAGGCTTCCTAGATTTCTCCACGCCTGGGCTCTAAGCTCTTCTATACTTGACACATTCTCAACTACAAGGAGGAAGGAGGAAAGTCATCTTCTTGACTGTTGTTAGGTGAAATACTGAGTAGAGGAAATTAAAAGGAGATTTGGTATGGGTTTGTGTGATGTCTTAAAATTTAGATCCATGGGGGACGGAGCGATAGCACAGCGGGGAGGGCGTTTGCCTTGCACGCGGTCGACCAGGGTTCCGTTCCCAGCATCCCATATGGTCCCCCGAGCACCTCCAGGAGTAATTCTTGAGTGTATGAGCCAGGAGTAACCCCTGTGTATCACCCAGTGTGAACCAAAAATCAAAAAAAAAATTAAAAAGATAAAAATAAAAAATAAAATAAAATTTGGATCCATTAAGGCCAACTCACTCGGAAATTGTCATCATTTGGGGTTCTTTTTCCTTTATCAGCTTTCTTTTGTTCCTTTTGTCTCTCTTAAATAGTAGTTATTATTTTATTTAGGCCACTCCGCCTGGTTCAGTGCTCAGGAACCACTCCTGGTGGGGCTCAGGGGACGTTAGGTGATGCCAAAGATCAAGCCTTGATTGACTATGTGCAAGACAAGTGCCCTTTCTATCCACTGCAGTACCTCTCTACCCCTACATGCGTATTTTTTTTTTATGCTGGTCAAGACTTCAACTTACGCAAAATATTGTGATCTACTTAGCCAGCTCATTTAGCATATTGACTATCATTTTCCAGTTCCCACTTGTTAGGTTCTCCGCTGCTAACCCATTCTTTTAGAATTACAGCTGAGGAGTAATTAAGTACTTAATTTAGTAAGACTTTTTTTTCCCTCTTCTGTTAAAAGGAATTACAGAAAGACATGAAAGGAAGTGCACAGGCATTGGCAGAAATAGTGAAAAACACAGAGAAATTCTTGAAAGAGAACGACGGGATGTTGTCTACGGAAGACAAGGCTTTGATTGAACAGAAACTTAATGAAGCGAAGTCAAAGTGTGAGCAGCTTAATTTGAAGGCGGAGGAGTCGAAAAAGGAGCTGGATAAAGTCGTGACGACGGCAATGAAGGAAGAAACTGAAAAGGTCCTTATTCAAGCGTGGTACACTATGGCTTGGTTAAAATTGATTCGCATGATGTCTGCTTGATTTATTAAATAATATCAGGTGGTAATGATCAGTGATTAGCTCTAGATAGATGTCCAGGCATGTAATTGACTAAATGCCAGGGAAAGTTTTGCTTAACTTTTTAAAGAAAATTTAAATGGCATCGTGAGATTTATGACTTAGAAATGTGTGCATACTCATCTAGTTAAAAAATTGGAATATATTTTTAAGAACTTTGAGAACTCTCCAAGTAACTGCATGGGGCTGGAGCTATAGCACAGAGGGGAGGGTGTTTCCCTCGCACGAGACTATCCCGGGTTCGGTTCTCAGCATCCCATACGGTCCTTTGAGCACCTCCAGGAGTGATTCCTGAGTGCAGAGTCAGGAGTAACCCCTGAGCATTGCAGGGTGTGACCCAAAAAGCAAAAAAAGCAAAAGTAACTGCCTATTGCCGGGACTAAGGTTCTCAGGTTTAATTTAATTGCTTTTGTTTCTCCTTTTGAGCCGGCGTTAGTATCCTCTGATTTTAAAAGAAACCGAACAGTTATGTTTAATGCCTTAAACTAGTACCTTCGGCCAAAGAGAGTTCTCATGTCGCCAGCCCCAACCTTAGTGGATCCTGGACAAATCACTGGGTCCCTCAGAGCCACATGTGAACCCTGAGCACAACCAAAAGAATGATAGCAATAAAATTAAAAGGACTAAGGCCTCTCTTCAGCTGTGGTGAACTTTTCCTGTCCAGGCTGCTGCTGTGAAACAGCTGGAAGAGAACAAAGCCAAAATAGAGAAGCTGCTGGACTGGCTCTCGAACATTGACGAAGACTCGGGAAAGGCAGGGCTGACCCAGAAGCAGGCCGTCGAGCAGAATGGCACCCACTTGCAAGATGGTGATGGGAAGTCTGAGATTGGGGAAGAGGACGAAGTTAACGGAAACCTGCTGGAGACTGCTGTGGACGGGGTTATCCTGAGCCCCGAGGAGAATCTGAACCAGCAATACCAGAAAGTTAAGGTGTGTTATTTCAAACGCAATGCACTTGATTGCTATATCCTCTTAGGCCTTAATGCCCATAGAATCAAGTCCCTTTTATAGGTCCATTGTTGTATTTTTTTTGGGGGGGGATAGGCCCATTATTTTATATACACATATATATGTGTGTATATATTTATAAATATGTGTATATATACATGTGTATATATGCGCATATATGTATGTATGTGTGTATGTGTATATATAAATATATATGTGAATATATGTGAACATAGAAAGATTGTATTCATCTGGGGAACATAAAGTAACAAAATAGGAGACTAATACCCAAGAATAGCCAAGTTAAGTACCAGGAGGTTTACTCCATGGCTTGGAGACCAGCCGCACATGCTGGGGGAAAAGGCAGCTCAGATAGAGAAGGGAGCACCAAGTAAATGGTGTTGAGAGGATCCTCCCAGGATGGGAGAAGCATGCTGAAAGTAGACTATAGACCAAACATGGTTGCCACTCAATGCCTCTTTTGCAAACCACAGCACCCAAAAGGAAAGAGAGAACAAAAGGGAATGCCCTGCCACAGAGGCAGCGTGGGATGGGGGGGATGGAGGGGTGGAAGGGATATTGAGATTCATGGTGGCAGGAAACGGGCACTGGTGGAGGGATGGGTATTTGATCATTGTATAATTGAAACCCAAGCACAAAAATTTGTAAGTCTACAACTGTACTTCATGGTGTTTCACTAATAAAAATTTAAAAAAATATATTCTCTCAGAATTTCAGGAAATAGCCATGAAAGTACTACAATAGAGTTTTGGGAGCAAATAATTTTGTAATAGTATTCATTTGACAATATAAAATCAATTTTAATTGAAGTATCAGGAGTTAATGTGAATGATATTCAAAGATGAAATATGAATATTTTTCAAAATAAAATTTGTTCAAATTTTAAAAAATAAACATATACACATATATATGTTATATAAATATAATATGTATAAGATACATATACATAGGTTTTCTAGAATTTTCAGCAAGTCAAAGACCATGAAAATAAACCCTTAGGCTCAGCATTCTTATAACTAATGACTAAAATTCTTATAACTTATAACCAGTAACAGAGGGCAAGGCACACTTCTAAGCCCTGGCATCTTTATTTAACCCTTGCACTTCAGTAACCCTGAAGGCCATTATGCTCATTTCATAACAAGAGAAACTGACTTACAGTAGTGAAGTAACTTGTCCAAGCTTACCTGTCTAACAAGGGATCAGGTTTGGATTTTGAATGAAGTGACACGCCCAGTCACTTTGCTGCAGTGTGACCCCATGTCTGTGGGCTGTAGCCAGGAACTCACTCGTTTCCTCTGCACCTCTTATCATCTTTGCAGTGAAGGCTGTGGTGGTGTTGAGATGAGGAATGAGAGCCCTTCCAACATTTCACTGCACAGTGGAAATTAATCCCACTGTCGTCGTTACTGTCGGAACAAGGCAGTGTTTGACACTTCACTTTCAAATTATCTCATAATTGATCCTTTTATTTCAGTGTTTGGCTTTCGGCTGCACTTTGGGAATATACATAGTTCTATTGGTTTTCCTCCAAAACTCTGGAGACTTTGGCATAAAACAATTTTGATGAGGTTCTTATAGAGAATAAAATGAAACTGCACAGAAAGTGAAAGTATGACTCAAATGTATCCTTCCATGCCCCCCCCCGCCCCCACACTCCTCTTTTAAATGTCTGTTTAGGATCATCTTCTAATAAAAAAAATTATTCTACTTCTGAATAATTAGGTCAAGAATTAACAGTCCCCTGGGGGAGCTGTGGGCAGGAGTGATAGCACAGTGGTAGGGCGTTTGCCTTGCATGCGGCCGACCCGAGTTCGATTCCTCCGCTCCTCTCGGAGAGCCTGGCAAGCTACAGAGAGTGTCCCAACCGCAGGACAAAGCCTAGCAAGCTCCCTGTGGCGTATTCAATATGCCACACACAGTAACAAGTCTCATAATGAAGATGTTACTGGGCCCCTTCGTTCAAATCGATGAACAATGGGAGGACAGTGCTACGGTGCCTGGTAACTGTGTGGAAGAATGAGTATGAATGAGTAGACAGTGTGGGTCCTTATTTTAGAATTAGAAGCTTGTTGCACATTTTCCAAAATTCACAGAAACAGTACTTGTCTCATTATTATTGAACTGGGGTGGGGGATGGGGGGTGATGGGCGGGAACCTGGGGACCCTGGTGCTGGGAAACGTACACTGGTGGAGGTGTGGATGTTGGAACACTGTATGGCTCAAACCTCATCACGAACAGCTTTGTAAAGGTCTGTCTCACAGTGTCACGGTCACTGTCCTCCCGTTGTTCATCGATTTGCTCGAGCGGGTCCAGTAACGTCTCCATCGTGAGACTTGTTACGGTGTTTGGCATATCGAATATGCCACGGTTAGCTTGCCAGGCTTTGTGAAAATTTAGTAAACAAAGTATAGCCGAAGAGAGAGAGAGAGAGGGAGAGAGAGAGAAGAATAATTGAGGACAGGGGAGATGGTTTGTGTGTGTGTGGCATGGGAGAGGCGCTGTTAAGGCGATTGTTGTTGCATGCATGTGAGCCCGGTTCCATCCAGGGCATCACATGTGATCTCCCCAGCATCAGCAACAAGGGTGATCCCTGAGCCTAGTAGCAAGCCCAGAGCACCAGGAGCTGTGACCCAAAAAGATCAAGGTCGGGTGTTCCCAATGCAGCTCTTCTGGAATTTGCTGATAAAGGGGCAGTCAGGTGCACCCTGAGAAGCAAGCTGTTGGTTGACCCTAAACGTCAGGTCCTTTTGGACCGCTCCGATGGGGACCAGAAGGCAGGGTGCACCCGGTGGCCTCGGTGCAGGTCCTTCCTGGCCTGCAAGGGGAGCGTTATCATCAGGCCCTTCCTGGCCTGCAAACCCAACCCAGCATCTCCTGTTCCTCCCGGCAGGCGCAGCACGAGATGCTCGCGGCCCGGCAGTCCGCCGTCCTCCTGGCCACGCAGTCGGCCCACACCTTGCTGGAGAGGCAGGGCCGTCACCTGTGTCCCGAGGAGAAGGAGAAGCTGCAGAGGCACGTGGAGGAGCTGAAGGCGCACTACGAGGCGGCCCTGGCCGCGTCCGAGAAGAGGGTGAAGCTGACGCGCTCGCTGCAGGAGGAGCTGGAGAAGTTCGACGCCGACTGCGGGGAGTTCGAGCACTGGCTGGGGCAGTCGGAGCAGGAGCTGCAGAACCTGCAGGCGGGCGCCGACGACCTCCCAGGCCTGCTGGCCAAGCTGAAGAGGCAGAAGAGCTTCTCCGAAGACATCATCTCCCACAAGGGCGACCTGAGGTACATCACCATTTCTGGGAGCAGAGTCTTAGAAGCGGCCAAGTCATGCGGCAAGAGAGCCGGCGGTGGCCAGGCCGGACAGGAGGACGTTGACACGTCTGCGACCCACAGGGAAGTCCAGAGCAGACTGGACCAGGCCACCGAGCGGTTCAGATCTCTCTACTCGAAGGTAAATCTCATTTATTTATTTTAATTGATTAATTTATCTATCTATTGCTTTTGGGGTCACACCCAGTGATGCTCAGGGATTATTCGTGGCTTTACACTCAGGAATTAACCCTGGAGGTGCTCGGGGGACCATATGGGATGCCGAGGATCGAACCCAGGTCAGCCGCGGGAATGAAAAACGCCCTACCCGCTGTGCTATCGCTCCGGCCCTCATTTATTTATTTATTTATTTATTTATTATTTTTCTGTTTTCAAGTCCGCTTCAAGGCATTGGAGTGCTGGCTTCAACAGTTGGCACTTTTGTTCTCTTAACTTTCGTCTCAGAAACCTTCTAAAACTTGACTCCAGGGAAGTAAGATACTGGCATCCTGAGTCTCCTTCATCTGCTTTCTAAAAGCGTCGTTTAAAGATAGAGGATTTCTATTTATTTATTTATTTATTTTTTGCTTTTTGGGTCATACCCGGCGATGCACAGGGGTTACTCCTGGCTCATGCACTCAGGAATTACCCCTGGCAGTGCTCGGGGGACCATATGGGATGCTGAGAATCTATCCCGGGTCGGCTGCGTGCAAGGCAAATGCCCTACCTGCTGTGCTATCACTCCAGCCCCAAGGATTTCTTTTTTTTAATTTTTAAATTTTTATTAGTGAGACACCGTGAGGTACAGTTGTAGACTTACAAATTTTTGTGCTTGGGTTTCAATTAGACAATGATCAAATACCCATCCCTCCACATAGATTGAGGATTTGATGGGGCTGGAGCGATAGCACAGCGGGTAGGGTGCTTGCCTTGCATATGGTCGACCTGGGTTCGATTCCCAGCATCCCCTATGGGCCCCTGAGCACCACCAGGGGTAATTCCTGAGTGCAGAGCCAGGAGTAACTCCTGAGCATCGCCGGGTGTGACCCGAAAAGAAAAAAAAAAGATTGATGATTTGATTATTTATGGAGTGAGTTTGGAGAGTGATTTCGTGAGGGCCCCAACTCAAAAGTGCTAATACCCAGTTTTACCACCAGGCGGCATGGTTTCTTTTACAGAGCTGCTTGATCAGTGGAATATTTTATTTAGCCTTTGCTAGCGAACTGGGCTCTTCCTGTGGATGCGTGAAAGGTTTAGTTTCCTTGTGTGTGTGTTTATTTGTTTTTTTAACTGAGAAAACATTTCCTTGTTTACACTACAAGCTGAAATGATTTAAGATGCACACATGTTTTAGAGAGAATCATTGCCTGTTGCTTTTAATTCATAGTGGTCTGTATACTTTTCACTTCTTAAGTTGATCAGTCTTGGGAAAACACGAAGAGGTATTATGTTAGGCACCTCGAAAATATTTATATCACGTAGGTACACGGTGTATGAAACCAAATAGGAGTGTCTATGATGGTTCATATCTAAAGAAATCCTTCATTCTAGGCTAACCCTCAGCTCTTTTATTTTATTATTTAAAAAGATGGCTTTTTTGCTTTTTGGGTTACTCCTGGCTTTGCACTCAGGGATTTCTCCTGACCATCTGGGGTGCCAGGGATTGAACTCAGGTCAGCTGCGTGCAAGGCATACTCCCTACCCACTGTACTATTGTTCTGGCCCCAAAACTCAGCCCTTTTAAATATATTTTGAGCTTGTGTAAGTCTGGCACTAGCTTCTGATTTTCATGGTTACATTTTGATTTGTTTATGAATACTTTCTACTTTAAGAAGTTCATAACCCTGCTATATTCACTTAACTTTTGCTGAAGTCCTTGGTGTTTTCCAAGTTTTATGATTCATAGGCGCTATGGTTAATCTGCCTGTATAAAAAAATAATGGAATATGATTGCCACTCAATGCCTGTTTTGCAAACCACAGCACCCAGAAGGAGAGAGAGAACAAAAGGGAATGCCCTAACACAGAGGCAGGGGGGATGGGGGATGGGGGCTGAGAGTGATGATGGGACCCGTGGTGGTGGAGGATGGGCGCTGGTGGAGGGATGGGTACTCGATCATTGTATAACTGAAACCCAAGCACAAAAATTTGTAAGTCTACAACTGTACCTCATGGTGTCTCACTAATAAAAATTTTAAAAAATAATGGATTTTAATCCCTCACCCCTCTTATCTTTTATTATTATTTTTTTTTAGTGCAGTGTCCTTGGGAATAACCTTAAAGATCTTGTGGATAAATACCAACACTACGAAGATGCCTCCTGTGGACTTCTCTCCGGGCTCCAGGCCTGTGAGGGGGCAGCAAGCAAGCACTTATCTGAGCCCATTGCTGTCGACCCGAAAAATCTGCAGCGGCAACTAGAGGAGACGAAGGTGAGTGAGAGACAGACAGACAGAGATAGAGAGGAGAGAGAGAGAATAAAACAGGAGCACACGTGCAAGAGAGCAGTATCGCTGGAAATCTGGAAATCATCCACTTCTTTACACTTTTTCATTGTAGTTTCAACTATGGGCTGGAGCCATAGCACAGCGGTAGGGTGTTTGCCTTGTGTGCAGCCAGCCCGGCCAAGCCGGGTTCGATTCCTCCGCCCCTCTCAGAGAGCCCGGCAAGCTACCGAGAGTATCTCGCCCGCACGGCAGAGCCTGGCAAACTCCCCATGACATATTCATATGCCAGACACAGTAATAACAAGTCTCACAATGGAGACGTTACTAGGCCCGCTCGAGCAAATCGATGAACAACAGGAGGACAGTGACAGTGACAGTTTCAACTATGGAGGTTTGGGAGATGAGTGGGATGAAAAATGGAGAAAATAGAACTTCTTTCACTAGAGGGAGTTAAGACTGTTCCTTGTGGTCTCGTCACTTCCCGTTCTGTTTCTCTTTTTCCACTGTTGTAGTGCTTTGACATAAGTATGACACGTCACCTGCCTCCCAGCCCTCTCCTGTCCCCGAGGAAAATCACTGTTGTCTGGGCCACTTGTTTCCTTTGTCTTAGTACGAATTGATTTGATTAACTGCTTTTCTCCTGCATGAACTCATGCTCCCTGTGGCCAGGTGTTTTTCTCTCCTCTGTTCACTGCTCTTTTCTCAGTACTTGAACCTGTACCTGGCCCAGAGTTGTTCTTGGTTAATAATCGGTCAAACCAGACAAAAGAAGAGAGGTTATTGTCGTGTTCAGTGTCTGAGCAGTAGGGTTGCGGTTCCTATTGAGTATCTATCTCCAGGATTTATAGAGATTCAGACTTCATTCCAACCTGATACAGAAATCCAGAAACCAGCCCATTCTTTTAAATTGAATGTGGCAATTGTCTACCGGTGAGAGTCTCATATCTGCAATGGCAGGGCAGATCTTTATCCTATTAAATTTGAGCATATTTCCAATTCTTATAATTAGGGCAGAGAAAGTTTGCAACATTTTATTCTTCTTGTATATCATCAGTAATTTTGAGCCTGAAAATTCATTTTTCCATTTGTAAAATCTCTTCTGTCACATGTATACATATATATGTGTGTGTGTGTGTGTGTGTGTGTGTGTGGCTTTTTTTTTAGGCAGGTGGATAGCCACTGTTCATTGCTGCTGTTAGCTTGAAAATAAACACTCTCAGTTAAACAGTTGCCTTTAGTTTGTCCTTTTAAGTAATTATGGAGTCAAAAATCAGTATTTAGCTGGTACCACGGAAAACAGGTAGCCCTGAGCGAGACTCAAGTTAGGTAATGCCTGACACTGCAAACCTCTCTGGCTGGATGAAGTGAAGTCCTCCACTCGGTAAATGAGTCAGGTTACGCCCAAGACAGGGAAGAGGGGGATGGAGTTAAAAGATGACAGGAAGAGAGAAGAGATGGGATAGGGGATTAGGATAGAAGCCAACACTGCTTTTTCCCTGGCTGGGAGGTTTACCACTCCCTGTAGTGGGGAGATTCCCCTCACTGACCAGAACCCACACGTGATGCTGTGCTTGATTGCAGCCTTCTCCAGGGGTGTTGTGTAATCACAAAAGATAAATTGCGCGGGGCCTCAGTGGAGGCTCTCTCTCTCGCCACCCGCGTTCGGTAGTCTCGTTCCAGCCTCCCGTACCCCTCACCCAGGAGGCTGATGGCAATGGGCAGGCAAAGGAAGGAACGAGGGCCAGGCTGGTTGGTCTCCATTGCCATTTATTCCAATCTCATCTCCATTCTTCCCTGACTCTCCTCCTGTTTCTTCCTCCCCCATGTGGCTTCATTCTCCTCGATCCCACTCCAATTCTCCTTCTTGCTCTGGGTCCCCCAGTCCTCTCTTAGAGCCCTATTAAATCCCCCAGCACGAAGGGTTGGGGCTTACTCATAGGCATGGTCACAATCAATAGGAGTAAAGTCTTTCCCTCAGGGGAAGCTGCTTCTAGGACTGATTCTCTTCCAGCAGGATGACTCTCCCATGACCGAAATTCCAACTGTGGGTGTGTTTCTCCTCTCCTTAGTCCAACAAACATATACGCATTCATAATATTAATCATTTTGTATGGACACAGTAAGAGATCCCTTAAGCTTGTAGAGTTGCTCTCCTGGGGTCATCCTGATCTCAGGCTACAGTTCTCAGGCCAGATTAGTCTTTCCTAACCCTAGCAGGGTCCTAATCTTGTTGTTACTCTTGGATTATGACAGCATTTGTCCATGACCATGATCTCAACTTATAGTTGAGTATCGTGGTGCTTTGGCCTGGCCCATTTCGATGCCAGGGTAGCTCACAGCTTGCCCTGGGTCCATTCATTCAGTCCCTCGTCGGGACCCTGCTTTTGGGGTGCTAGGAAGTAAGGGCAACCAAGGCTCAAGTCAAGAAAGCACGTGCCCAGGAGGGAATATTATTCAGAGTCTTAACTCCCAAGTTAAAAAAGCTTAATATTAACTGTCTTCCTGTGTCTGTACATAAAGGATATAGCTTTAAAGTAAACCATTCAAAAGACATAAGGAGAGGAGAAAGGCAGTATTTTACTCATACATACAAAATCATAGAGTTCTGAGGAATCTGACCTTACAAGTTAACAGAGTCTGATTAGGGGGAAAGGGTGATCGACCGATTGGGGAAAAGAGCATAGAGAGGAGTTTACAGATAAATACAGTGGAATGGAAATGCCTCAGGAGCACTGTGATAAACCTCAGCTCCCTGTGGCAAGGGAAACTGGACATATCAATGTTATCCTAAAATGTTTAGAGCTACATTCCAATAAACACAGGAGAATGGGGGTGCTTCAGGAGCACTGTGATGGGTAGCACCCGAAAACCTAAGCTCCCTGGAGCAAGGGAAAAAGGACAAAGCAGTGTTATCCTACGGGGTATTACTGTTGATCCTGGGATTTTTCTTCTCTCTTTCCCGTAAGTGCCAGAACAATTCTGCCGTAATTTTTTTCTTTTTTTAAACCTGTCTTGAGTTTCAAGTTCTGCTTGATTACTCTCTAAGGACAGTGAATACTTTAGAGTCAAGAGAGGAGGTGTTGAGGAGAAAGGTATTTACACTGATGGGAATTGCCAAGAGCTTTAAATAGTTATGATTTATATCTATTCCGTTTATGATTTAAATGTATAATTTAAGTATATTCCATTTAACTAGGAAAACTGATGCTGCTCTGTATAGAAGTAATTTTTATGAGGCTATAGAGGAAAGAAAAGAAAAGCCCAAAGGAATTCTACGGATTTTAAATTAAGTAGATATCTGGTTAATTATAAAACAGGAAATGTTCCAGGATATAAGACAAAGAAGACTTCTGTAATTCTAAGGCACAGCTAAAGAAATACTTAAAAATTTTTTAAAAAAAAACCCACAAGAGTGTCTCAAAGGAGAGTGAATTCTAATTAAGTTACAGCATGATTTTAAAAATTAAGTGTGTAATTAAAGTCATTCCTGACATGTGCATATGTTTCCTTAGAGATGGTGCCATTACGTGTAAGCATACATTTTCATGAGAATTAGGTAGTCATTTCTTTCATTTTGATTAACATCAGATAATAGTTTAAGAATCATATAAAACAATGTAAAACCGACTTAAAAAAACTCATCTAATCTTTTCCACGTTTATACCAGCATCTTCTATTTATAAAAAATGCAATTTAGGGGCACCTCATTGATTGATTTGAAATCATTTCTGTGCCTTGTGGTATCATAATTGCTCATAAAGCTGGTGGCTCTCTGGTCAGTACTGTGGTGCCACCAAACTGAAATGACATCACTCGAGATCTGCGTCTCAGAAAATCAGTGGGCAGAACAGTTGGTCCCATCCGAGGCTCCGAGAGACAGGCTGCTGGAATGTTGACACTTTCCATGGAGTTAGAACACTGTCAGAAGTTGCGTATCTTCTCAGCCTGTGCTGATTTGAGGTCAGAATTTTTGAGGAGCCTCAAAAGGTGAATCAGGATGGATACACATTCAGATGGAGACACCCTCAGGTTGCAAATACCCTCAAAATGATCAGCTTCATAGACTTCCCTCTTTTTTGGTCCAGGAAAGAACACCAACTTCAAGACCAGTTATCTTGCAACATACCCCCGCATTCATGTTTAACTTGCATCAAAATCAGATGCATTCATGTTTTGCTTTCATGAAAATTATCCATAAAAAAGGATAGGTCTACCATTTGAATAATTTGCAACTTCATTACAAAGTAGCAGCATAAACTAATGTCGTAGTGAAGGTATAACCAGATCCAGGTGAGGGAATAACAGATACTGACTCTCTTGAGCATAACGGAGAGAAAAGACATGGGCTGTTTGGGAAGAAAAAAGAAGATTGCATGGTTCTTCTTTTGTAATCTACTTCTAAGATGTATTATTATTATTTTTATTATTTTTGACGGGTTTTTTTTGGTCTCTATGTGTGTGTGTGTGTGTGTGTGTGTGAGAGAGAGAGAGAGAGAGAGAGAGAGAGAGAGAGATTTGGGCTAGGCTGGTGGGATGCTTGAGGTTTACTCTGTGCCCAGGGGGCCATATGTATCACTGGGCCAGAATCAGCTGCCCGCAAGGCAAGCACCTTCCCTGCTGGACACAGAAGCCACACTTCTAAGTTTCAAGATGGCAGCTTTGGACCATCTTTGCCCTTTAATGTTTTATAGGACCATGATCACATCCATCATACATTCTTCTATTCAGTAGACGTTTGTATGACAGGCCCATCACTTTGTGATCACACAAATCTCAAAATTCCACCTCTTCTTCTTGGGGATCTCACTGTCACTGTCACTGTTCTCCTGTTGTTCATCGATTTGCTCGAGCGGGCCCAGTAACGTCTCCATTGTGACACTTGCTACTGTGTTTGGCATCTGGGATACACCATGGGGAGCTTGCCAGGCTTTGCCATGTGGGCGAGATACTCTCGGTAGCTTGCCGGGCTCTCCAAGAGGGGAGGAAGAATCGAACTTGGGCGGGCCATGCTGGCCGCTTGCAAGGCAAATCACTCCAGCCCACGTTATAAAAATATTTTTTAGGAGAGGATCAGGAGAGGTAAGTAGTGACAATTTTATAGAAGAGACAAATATTGACGATGGAGTATTTATTGGGGGCTCCCAGGAAAGGGGGGAGAATTATACTTTCAAGTAAGAAGAGAGGATAACTTCCCAGAGAGCTGAATGTTGAAGGATAAATACAAGCCAAGTCCAGGATGGTGGCGGGATGATGGGAGTGAGGCCTAAAAGGGCCTAAAAGGCCTCCTCCCATTGATCGTCGATTTGCTCGAGCGGGCCCAGTAACGTCTCCATTGGAGACTTTGTTGTTACTGTGTTTGGCATATCGAATACTCTCGGTAGCTTGCTGGGCTCTCCGAAGGGGAGAATGAAGTGAGGATGAAGGTTATATGCCAAGTTGGTTTCTGAGAGATGTTAGGACATGAGAATGATTAGAAACAAGGAGTTCAAACAAGCTGTGTTGTTAAACATTTTTGGAAAATGAAAAAAAAATAAAGATTGAAAATAGAATTAGGGGATCGATTTTATGGACTGTTTTTATGACATCATCAAGGTTTCACCTTTATCACAAAAACCATGGATGCTACCTAAGAGTTTAGAGGAGAGCCGGAAAGATACCACAGGGGTGGAGGTCCTTGCTTGGCATGCAGCTGCTCCAGTTTGATCCCTGGTACCCCATACAGTTTCCTGAGCCCTGCCAGGAAAGATCCCTGAGCACAGAGCCAGGAAAGCCAAGCGGGGGCCCTGAGTGGGCTGACAGTCCATTTGGACCACATCCCATAGCTCAGCCGGATGTGGACCAAATAACCCTCCCCCTTCATAAAGCGGGGAGTGATATAGGAAGACACACATTTGAGACCCAAATGCACTGTGGGGAGCTTCATCTGGTGAGACTTCCGGGCTCAAGGAGCACAGTCAGGGAGCCCTTTTCAACAGAGCAAGAGAGCTTCCTGCAGTGGTGGAGGGATGCAGTGCAGAGAGCTGACTAAACCCATGTTTTTCGTCAGGAAGACGGTCAGGTCTTGAGGGTTGACTTGTGTCTGCTAAGGGAGGGGGGGTGCTCCAGAGTCTCTGAGGAGCTGCAGGCTTCCGAGTCGAATGAGATGCGAGTCCAGAAGGAACTGCGGGTGTAGGGGATGAGATAATGAGCTCAGAGTTGGCCTTTTGAGTGTTTGGTGGCTGTGTGCACAGCCAGATGGAAACATTTGTGGAACAGTTGGAGACCCGGGCCCGTGGCCACGGATGAGTTCATCTACAGCTGGACGTGGGAATTTGAGTTTAAAATCTGTATGAGAGACAGAGGGGGAGCGGGGCCTGGACACCTCGTGTGAAGGGAAAGCCAAGCGAGGGCCCTGAGTGGGCGGACAGTCCATTTGGACAGAAGGGTGAGGAGTTCCAAAGACTTCCCCGTGGTTCCTGCCTCTTTGCTCCTCCACCCTTGCTGTGGAACTGCATTTGTACTTCATAAAGAACTGCAGGGACATATGGACAGCACATTCGGTCTACCTTTGCGGAAGCCGTTGACACGCTTAACCTTTATCACTTTCTCTGCCTTTAAACTCTTTAAGCACAGAGAGCAGCTGGGCGCATTTCCATCTTCCTCATTATTTTGGCTCTCCCCCTACCCTCATCTCCTAAATGGAGATCCAGGAGCCCTTCGGGGTTCCTTCTCCGGTTTTCCTGAGTTGGCTCTCCTTGGAAGTCTCTCTCGTGGGTCTTGACGCCCAGTGCTTTGCTTTAGGTCTGGTTCCAGCTTGCATTGCTCCTTTTTCCATTTTTTTAAGAGGGATGTATTTTTATTTTATTATTATTAGTGAGATACCACAAGGTACAGTTGTAGACTTAAAAATTTTTGTGCTTGGGTTTCAATTATACAGTGATCAAATACCCATCCCTCCACCAGTGCCCATTCCCCACCACCACGGATCCCAGTATCCCTCCCACCTCACATCCCCCCATCCCACCCTGCCTTTGTGGCAGGGCATTCCCTTTGGTTCTCTCTCTCCTATTGGGTGTTGTGGTTTGCAAAAGAGGCAATGGGTGACAACCATGTTTGGTCTATAGTCTACTTTCAGCATGCTTCTCCCATCCTGGGAGGATCCTCCCAACACCCTTTATTTGGTGCTCCCTTCTCTATCTGAGCTTCCCCTTCCCGTAGCACATGTGGCTGGCCTCCAAGTCATGGAGCAGGAATTTTGCTCCCTTTTCCATTTTCAATTCCTACTGTCACGAGCCTTTTCTAGTTTTTCTGTTTTCCCCAGCTTCTTTCCTTCATTCCAGGTTTTTTTTTTTTCTGGGGATCAAATGAAGATCGTTATTTATTTATTTGATTTTTTTGTGAAATAAAAATGGAATTTGGATTTATTTTAGGAAGGGGATGTAGGGAGAGAAGGTGAGAATAATGCACTCGAGAGACAACAATGGGCTACCCAAGGGCAAAGAGAGTCTCTGCACACACCCCAGCAGTAGATATAAAACTATGAAACACATCTCAAGAAGGGAGATGAAGGTGACACATGTACTTGGCACCCCGTGTGCTCAGCCACGTGGGCACAAGCAGCACATGGCCTCAGGCAGCATATACACCTAAGGGGGGTCTGTAGATGAACCTCCAAAAAGCTCTCTCCAGTGAGTTATTCCCCACAAAGTTCTGATTCGCTCCTAAATTTTCTCCCACTTTGATGATGCACTCCACTCACTGCCCAAGAATGTTGGTGCTTCATCTCCTCCTGACCCTTGTCCTTTATATCTGTGTCTTAGAGTTGCCCAGTAGAGCAATCTGGGATGAGAATGTGTTCTATAATCTTCTCTGCCCGCACGGCCGCCACTAGTCGCATGTGGCTATTTGCCACTCAAAGTGGGACGAGTACCAGTGAGCAATTAATTTTTTGTTGATTTTAATTAATTGAAACTTTTAAAAGACATCTGTGGTGAGTGCGTTCTGCACTAAGACAGCCCTGCTTGAGACAGTCTTCGAGTCTTCTGGGCTCTTCCCAACTCTGTAATCAGTTTGACTTTCCTTGTTCAGACAGGCCTTTCCTACATACGGCTGTAGTTGTCCCTGAAATGATGCTTCATTTCTTCCTTATTTAATTAATCTCACCCAGTGTTAAAAATTTAGCCTTAGGGGGCTGGAGCGACAGCACAGCGGGTAGGACACTTGCCTTGCACGAGGCCGAGCCGGGTTCGATTCCCAACATCCCATATGGTCCCCCAAGCACAGCCAGGAGTAGTTCCTGAGTGCATGAGCCAGGAGTAACCCCTCGGGTTCGATTCCCAGCATCCCATATGGTCCTCCGAGCACCACCAGGAGTAATTCCTGAGTACATGACCAGGAGTAACCCCTGTGCAATGCCGGATGTGACCTAAAGAGAAAAAAAAATTTATCCTCAGATAGCTCTAAGTATGTTAACTCTTATTCAGACATCTTGGCTGACTTTGATTGCTATAGAAGAACATGTAAACTCCTCAGCCTGACACCGGAAGCCTCTTAATCCTGTTACTATTTCTTCTCCCACAAACTTTCAAATCATAGTTTCCTTCTACAGTTCCTTCTCCCAACTTTCAGCAGTACCCTCTCCTGAATCCTGGGGCTCTGATCACTTTCTGCCCTACACTGTGTGATTCTTGGGAATAAGCTGCCTGGCCGATTTTTAAATTTTCACAAACTATAGCAAAACATTTCACAGAACGTTTTTGAATTTGTTAGGTGTTCAGTAACTTCTGTTGAATAGAAACAAATATGACTCATTAGTAAATATAAGGATCTACTGAAATATAAAATCTTTCCTTAGCGGGCACTTTCATTAGATCATCGGACTTCTTTCCTTAGAGGGGTCTGAAAGACATTTTAGTGAAGCAAAACAGTTTTGGATGAGATGACTTGAAGCTTTTCTGTAGGAGCCCTGAGCTGGAGAGAAAAACTGCTCTATGATTTTTGTTGTTGTTTTTGCATTTTTGGGTCACACCCAGTGATGCACAGGGGTTACTCCTGGCTCTGCACTGAGGAATTACACCTGGCTGTGCTTGGGGGCCCATATGGGATGCCAGGAATCAAACTTGGGTCAGCCATGTGCAAGGCAAATGCCCTACTTGTTGTACTGTCGCTCCAGCCCAAAACCTGCTCTATGTAAAAGAATTATGCACAAATATTCCGAACTTCTCTCAATTATACTTTGCTTTTTTTTCTTTTCTTTTCTTGTAGTAGTCAAGGTATTATACAAAGTTTGGACTTGGGAATTGGGGGAAATCAGGATAAGGATAGAGGGTTTTAGGATTGAGAATCGGGGCAAATCATCAGGATCATGTACTTGGTGGCTTGTTTGCAGACTGACTTTGTATTCTCCAGACTGCCCGATGCTTTTGCTAAATGCCACTTTATAACTCACCTTAGTTCTTAGAATAACGAACTTAATAAATTTACAATAAAGTTTTCTATTTTCTGTCCGGTTTAACTTTGTCCTCCATCAACAATTTCTTTCATGTTGGAACTTTGCTGTGTGGTTCTCTTGGAAGTAATGCAAGCATGTAATCCTCTAGGCTCTGCAAGGACAGATCTCAAGTCAGCAGGCTGCTGTTGAGAAACTGAAGAAGACAGCCGAAGTCTTGTTAGATGCCAGGGGGTCTTTACTGCCTGCTAAGAATGATATCCAGAAAACATTGGGTAAGTGTTCATTCCGTACCTGCTTTCCTGGAGGTAAATTTCGAGTGCAGATATTCCAGTAGGATTGGAGAAAATTTGACTCTTCTGCATTGTGTAACCTCTGTCCTTTCTCTTCTCAACCCGAGAAGCTTGGCTTTGGCACGTGTATCAGAATCCTTGGGAGTAGGGACTGCATAGTTTAAAGTGTATACTTAGATTTTAATTTCATACTTAGAAAATGTAACAAAAAGTCTTCATTTTATAATATTTGTCACAGAAAGTAGAATTTAACACGCTTTCTCTTAGTTGGTGGTTTTAGAAAGATGCAACCTTTTCAACCCATGGCCAAAATCAGGTTTCTGGGAGATGTATTTTTATCAAAGATGGAAACATAGGTTTAGAGATCGAGAGTCAGAGTGTTGTACCGACTTTTTCACTTTATAGAACTCTTTGAATGGTCTCATAGAGTTCAGTTATTGGTATTTCAATGATACTAGAAATTGTACCCACCTAGAGTGGTACTTTTGCACCCTCTAGCCTTAAAAGTTGTGTATTTCTTTAGAGAATGAATTAGTTATAGCCATTTAATCTACTCACAAAACTTTGTGTTAACTACTTAGTGATTTTTATTGGTGTTTTCCACTGTCTTACTGAAATTTTGTTTTGACTTCATTGCTTTTTATAAGATTTATCATGCAGTTACTACAGATTTCTTTATGTAATAAACTTAACACAACAGATGATCAGACATATGTTTTACCCCAAACAGAGCATCAATTAAAATCGGAGTAGAAATTTTAGATGAAGAAACTCTGCTCTTCCAAACCATTCAGTAGAAAGAAATCTTTGTCTTTTACAAATATCCAAACTTTTTTTGATCATGTGCCATCAAATAATTTTCACTGGGTACACCTGCACATCTGCATGTGTATTTATAAATTATGCATGTATTTTACTATATGCATGGCAGCAATCAAGCAAAAATTTCAAAATGCAAGATAGAACTATGAATGGGAGGTCTAAATTTTTTTCTCCTGTGCTTTTGCCATTGACATCCTTGGGTGTGTAGGTTTATATCTCTGACCCCTGAACTATATCCAGTCTGTCTGTCTTTCACTTTTTTCTGTATTTTCACCCCTCTGTCCCTCCCATCCTTTCATCCTTCCTTCTTCCTTTTTGTTATGATTTGTAAAAAAATATATGATTCAGCTTTTCAGGTTGTATTCCTTTGGTTATGAATTTCAAATATATCATTGAATTTTTTCTTCAATCTCGGTGCGAAACACCGTGATTCACCTTAGGGTATTTTAAAACAGGATATAGCAAAGCAAACCTTGCTGTTAATGTTTCCCAATCATTTTGGACTAGATGATATTGTTGGGAGGTACGATGATCTGTCCAAGTCCGTTAATGAGCGAAACGAAAAACTCCAGATAACCCTGACCCGCTCACTGAGTGTGCAGGATGGCCTGGATGAAATGCTGGACTGGATGGGAACTGTGGAGAATTCTCTGAAAGAACATGGTCAAGTGCCCTTAAACTCTGCTGCTCTTCAGGATATCATCAGTAAAGACACTGTGAGTGACATTTTACACTGCAAAACATTGCTTTTTTTAAAAAAATTATTTATTGAATCACTGTGGGAAAAGTTACAAAGTTTTCAGGCTTAAGTCTCGGTCATACAAATATCAAATACATTTCCCTTTACCAATACTTATTTTTCACCACGAAGAACCCCAATAACCCCCCACCCCCAACCCTCCCAATGCCTGTGAGGCATAACCAGACCTAGGACCTAGATGAATTCTCGTTAACACTCTATCTACTTTGACTAGATTCATTGTTTCGACAAAAGATGCACCATTATTATTTAGAGTTTACACCCCCAAATCGAACTTGCTGAAAAGGCACTATGAAATAATTTATTTTCTACAGCTGGTCACAAGAATTAAATGATGTCACATGGCCGCTATTGCGGCCGCGCGATTTTGGTTTCTGCTATTTTACTTATTAACTCTGGAAGTATTTCTGCTGAGAGTTAATTAAGAGATTGGTTTCTGTGCTCTGGAGCCATGGCTGTGCCAGAGAGCCACTCGTGAAGGGCAACTCGTGACCTTGGTAGGGCATGAAGGACAAGCCTGGAACGCCCCCCTTCCCATGAGGTTTTAGTCGCCCCATCACCACCGGCTCATACCTGGCTTTCCATAAGGCTCCCAAGCGGCTGCCATCTTTCTTTCCAAAGGGAAAAAGGCGGAAGGGAGCAACACCCTTTCCCCTCCAGGCAGGCATGGTGGCGTGGATTAACACATAGTCCGTTCACTTTTCTGCTGCAAGCTGCTGGGCTCTGCATTAAGTCCTTGTGCTTCTGGGGCCGTGGCCGTGCCCAAAACATTGCTTTTTAGATGGGAAAAAATATCTTTCTCAATTCCAAGAGTTAATATGTTGGAGGTAGATTTGAGGATACGGAAAAAGTTCCCTGAATATAATCGCAGAAAGTAGTGCTTGCATACAGATGATTTTTTTTCTATAAAGGAGCGACAGAAAGAGCTTTGTGTGCATTTTTACTGAATATTATGCACTATAGAGGGCTTGCACATACATTGAGTCCTTGTTATTCATCGCTCCCCCAGCTGCACATGAGGCTAATGAGATCAATCTTGTTGCTGTCTGGTCTTTTCAAAACAAAAAGACCATGGCTAATCTCTAGGCTCCTTTGGATCCCAGGGGTTGGCAGGGGATACTCACCGCCTGCCTCTAGCAGGCAGCTGGCCAGCTGTTCTCTGCTCTCCCCCCAAAGAGATCTGGGATGAGGTTCCTCCAGGGACAGACCGGGCTTGTCAGTCCACCCCAACTCTTAGCCTCCTTTAGGTGGTTTCATTGTAGGCTGTTATGGATAGTAATTTTCAGAAACGGATATTATTGGTAGAACACCATGATAAAACAGATGCCCTGGTTGATTTCAGTTGTTGGAGCAAGACATCGCAGGTCGACAGAGCAGTATAAATGCCATGAATGAAAAAGTGAAGAAGTTTATGGAAACAACAGATCCATCCACTGCATCCTGCCTGCAAGCCAAAATGAAGGACCTGTCAGTCCGGTTTTCTGAAGCGAGTCAGAAACACAAAGAAAAACTTGCCAAAATGGAAGCCCTGAAATCCAAAGTAGAACTCTTCGAGAATCTTTCAGAAAAGCTGCAGACGTTTGTAGAAACCAAGTCTCAGGCCCTTACTGAGGTCGACGCACCTGGAAAAGATGTCACTGAATTGTCCCAGCATATGCAGGTTCGTTTGTTTTTTTTTTTTCTATGCATCAGACAGATCAAGCATCTTCAGAGTGTAAGATCAACTCACACACTTATGGGCAAATTGTAGTTAGCCGCCCTCATTGTGGTTGTGGGTAGGTGTGTATAGCTGTGTTTCCCCTCTTTAAAAGAACCTCACAGCCCATCTCCTCCTTGAAGCCCTTGCTTGTTGACTAGCCATGGACACCTTCTTTCATATGTACACTTTGCACACACTTATAGATGATGTAAGTCGATCATGTTCTAGAATGTACGGGGACATAATATAGAGTGTATTTTAAAAGTTCAGTTTCACGCGTGCTTTTTCAGGACAGCGTATTTGTATTTATTTGTCTATTGACTATAGATGGGATCATTCTTTCATGAAACGCTGATTAGAGCCATCCAGGTATCATCCCTAACTTTCAGTGGAGTGTCAGTGGAAGAGGTAGTAAGCATCTTATCTTGATTATAAATGTCAAAATGTTTTGTAGGAATCCACCTCTGAGTTTTTAGAACGCAAGAAAGATCTTGAAATTTTACAGAATCTCTTGAAGGAGATCTCCAACCATGGTTTGCCAGGGGATAAGGCTCTGGTTTTTGAAAAAACAAATAATTTGTCCAAGAAATTCAAGGAAATGGAGGATACCATCAAAGAAAAGTAAGTATCACGTAAGAAATTGGATTTGGGGAGCCGGAGTAATAGTCTAGTGGGTAGGTTGTTTGTCCTGCATGCAGCCAACCCAAGTTCGATCCCCAGCATCCCATATGGTCTTTGATTGCTGCCAGGAATGATTCCTGAGTGCAGAGCTTAACCCCTGAGCATTGCCAGTTATGACCCAACCAATCCCCACCCCTGACAACAACAACAAAAGATTCACTCATATAAAAATAGAAAGAAAGAAATTGGATTTTTTTCTACTTTGCACTACTAGTTCAAATGAATTTTTCAATCATGTGGATACCTAAAACAGTTTGAACACTGGAGAGTAAGCATAGAGCGACTTTACAAGTGTTTTTTTTTTTATTGCTAGTTTTTGCCGCTAAAGACTATTGAGTGGGGGACTTAAATGCTTCTTACACGAAAGTATAAAGTACTATGTAAGGGAATAATGATATGGTGATGGCAGTGTGCTATGAATACAGTTAACTCTCATCTCTGAAGCCTTCGATGTAGATTGCATTTTTATATGCAAAGGCAGAAACAATCTTGAAGCACAACTTAGTATTTGTTGTTTTCTGGGCTCCGTGGAAAAACTCTGCACAGTTTGAAAATAGCTTTTGAGCCTCTTCCATTTCTTTTGGTAAAAGTTTACTTTATCAAGGATCCTAGATAAGACCTGACTGTGATTAAACAAGTTAAAAAAAAAACAGTAGAATGAACAGAAGTTGAATTAGAAAGCTAGACATACATTTGTGGCTGAACTTTTTATATTTCTGACCTCGTGGTAGTGTAGAATTTGCATCCTGCTTTTGCTTCAGTTCATAAAGAAGACCCTAAAGAGACAATGGTCGTTTCTCATTTAGATCTCCCCTGTTTCTTCAGAACTCTTTACCTCTTTTGTGTGCAGTCTCTACTCCTTTATATTAGAGCTATTGTTTCTGTATAACACATACAGAATTCACAGTGCACAAAAGAAAATATTCTTAATTGTCCCAGATGGTTTATTCTGCCAGGTGTATCCAACTTTCAAACAACGTAGTCGTCATAATTTGTCCCGCTGCTAGGGGGTACTCCTAGTTCCATCTACTTGCACGCTTGCACGTGTTATCCACATGCCGTCCTCATGCTCACTGTGACAGTCCTCACACACGCTCATATGCCGAGCATGTGTCCTGCCTCTCAGCCCTGAATGCGCAGACCTGTGAGTCGCTCACTGCGGAGCTCAGTGGCTACCTATGGGTGAGACACCTGGGGAAATTCCTCTGTCACTAGTCTCACCTCCTTTCTTGGAGACTGAAATCTGTCCTCGGTGCACCTCGTTCATCCATTCGAGTGACAGTTGTCTGAAATAGGAGCCACTAGGTGGCGTTACATTTCTTTCACGTTAGAGATACTTCCTAAATGTTTTCCTTCTGGTTCTCTGCCTGCTGGCATTAAGCACCATATAAAGTGAACAGATCAAAGCCCACTGAATCTAAATAATGTTAAAGCTGTTTATATAGCCTTTAGAGTTTATGTAGCATTATTGCACGTCTTCACATATGGGTCACAGATTTCCCAACTACTGGGGTCTCTAGCGATGGGCCTTGCGCAAGGAATAGACACTTAGTTCATTTCACTTGTTCCCAATGAAACCTTTCCTCCTCTAACCAAGCGTTGCCGTGGGTGCTGGCGAGGTTTTCTTTAATATTAAATCTAATGCGGTAATAATTATTAGTAATTAGCAGTTACTTTCTCTGGAATGTCTCTCTGCTGTGGCTTTGAGAGATTGTCTTCGATGATTTTTGTTATCTAGAAAAGAAGCTGTATCTTCTTGTCAAGAACAGATGGATGGTTTCCAAGCACTTGTTAAGTCATTAAAGTCCTGGATAAAAGAAACAGCAGAGAGAGTGCCTGTTATACAGCCTTCTTTTGGGTCAAAGGATTTAGAGAAAGCTTTGGAAGAAACTAAAGTGAGTTCTTGTATCTCATACTAATTTATTACTTGCTTTTGTCATTAATGAAAAGCAAAAGTCTGAGTGGTTTTCTTTTATTTATTATCTCATGAATTAGATTCTTGTGTCTATACAGTATATTATAATATTCAGAAGTCATGAATATTAATGGACTAATTGAGGTGTTTTTTTTTTTTGGCTTCCAGTGAGATATAGCAGAGTGACTATTTAGGTATCTAAATCAAATTTGCTTCTCCACAAATCTCCTACTTTTAGTTATTTTTGATACCTTGTCACAAAAGGTTAAGTGGAAGAGCCTTGTTCAACTAAAATTTCACTCTTCCTAGAATATATCCTCATCACCAGTATTTGAAAGAAGAAGTTACTTGACTACCTAGTAAAATCACATGCAAATCTTTGGTCATTTGACTCAAGTCATAAAACCCAATTGACCACCCCATTTGGCACCATTTTTCCATTCTAAATCATTGGCAGTGGGTATTTTTTTAAATGTCACTCTAAATTTTGATGATTTAACACTCACCATTAAATGGAATTCGGCATTATTTATTTTATGGTTTCTAGATATTTCTTCTTGTAACTTGGCTACTCTTACCTGCTGTGATTTCCAGAGTTACAGTTGACAGTTACTTTGGAACCTCTGACCCCTGGGAAGCGAGTGACTGTCACTGTGACTGACAGCAGAATGTAGGCTGGCCCTTAGCCTACTTCCCGGCACTAACAGTGTTAACAGTCACCGAGGCTGTTGGAATAACCCGGGATGGTTCTTCCATCCACTTCTCCACAAAGCAGGACCCACAATCATTGTTTTGAGATGTGTTTAAGAAGTTGAATTAGAATGTGTAACTTTAAAACTACAAAGGCTGAAAATAAATGTGTTTTTATATCTCAAGAAATTACAAGAACAGTGGAGTTTGAAGACAGCAGAGGTTCAGAAAGTGAACAGCAGTGGGATCTCGCTATGTAACCTCATAAGTGCTGTGACTGTCCCTGCGAAGGCTCTGGCCACAGTGATACCAGGTATGTCCTGTGTTGATAGCTGGTGTGGACGGAATTGGACCCAGCGGGGCAGCTTCATTTGTGTATGTTTTGCATTGATGCATGAAGTAGCTTTAGAGAGTAAGGGAACATGACAGAGAAAGAAGAAAGATGGTGTGTAGATAAACACACACACACACACACACACATCAAAAGCTGCCCTGGCGAAGTATCTGTTACTAGTCAGCTTTCCGTTTTCTTCGGTTTTATTCAAGACCGCAATTTATACATAGCCAAATTAGTATGTAAGAATAAGGAGCATTATGTTGGGAGAGAGGAAAGCGCAGATTCCAATTCGTTTTTCGGAATAGAGCTGTTTGAAAGTGGTTTGAGGAATTTCACGTAATGAATCAATCTGTTAGAGAGCCCAGTGTGCTGCTGAAATGCAGCTCCTCTAATGAACCCAGGTGAGATCCTCTGAGCGTCCCCCCGCCCGGAAGTGACCCCCAAATACCAAATTGGGAATAGCCCCTGCACACCCCAAGATGTGACACAAAAAATGCAAAACAAAAGAGTCTGCTGGTCTGGGTAAAAAGGGAAGAAAGAAAGAGATTGTTTTTGATAAGGCATACCTGTCATTTCATTCCTGGCTACTTTTTTTTTGTACTCTGTTGCTAAAGAAAAGTCAGATACAATGTTGCTAAAGAAAAGTCAGATACAATGTTGCTAAAGAAAAGTCAGATACAATGTTGCTAAAGAAAAGTCAGATACAATGTTGCTAAAGAAAAGTCAGAAACAAAGTCAGCATGTCTAAATCGCCATTTTAGTCAGTTAGCTGCCTTATCATAAGGGAGAGTCCTGTAAACATAGTGATTTTAAGATCAGTTTACATCATTGATAACATTTGAAGTTTAAAACATATTTTTATTGTGTTACTATCAAGTGTTTTTTTAAGCCCTAGGGACAGACAGCATATCTCCTGTTTTTATTTCGAGAATTTCTGAGTATCTGAGATTTATCGGTTCTGCTCAGCCACCCAGGCCCCTTATGTGAGACCAGTGTTGCAGCTGAAGTCCTCATTGCCAGTCATTTTTTTCTGCCCTATAATCCCATTTCAGGGCATACTCATTGATGTTGTGATGATCTCTCCTCTTCCTCTCCTCATCAGATTTCCTTAAATGTTTAATTTTGGTTCCTCGTACCCACATTACATTTGTGATAAGTAAAATGTACTTTCTTTCTACTCTTGATAACCATCAAGCACTGTAGGATTTAGTCTTGGGCAGCTACAGCATATTTCTACTTTCATCTGAGATGCCATTGTGTGTGATTTTTTTTAAAAGGATGAAACTTGGATTTAGATGCAGATACTTAAGTCTTTCTTTTTAAATGTATTCTCCCATCTGCTCAATTTCCATCATTGTGTTTTGGATACATAGTCAGTTGATATCAGCACAAAGAAGTCACTGATTTTTTTTTTTTTTGCTTTTGGTTTTGTTTGGGTGGCCGGGCCATGACAGTTCTCAGGGCTTACTCCTAGCTTTGCACTCAGGGATCACTCCTGGCAGGATTCAGCTGGGGATCAAACCAGGTTGACAGTGTGCAAGGTGTACATCCTGCTCTTTGTACCATCTCCCTGCCCTGAAAGTAATTTGATTTAATAATCAGTGTGAGAAAGAGAATACTATGTGTTTATGTTAATTAAAGGGAAAAAATCACTGGGGCTGGAGCGGCAGCGCAGCGGTAGGGCGTTTACCTTACACGCAGCCAGTCCAGCTGAGCCGGGTTCGATTCCTCCACCCCTCTCGGAGAGCCCGGCAAGCTACCAAGAGTATTCGATATGCCAGACACAGTAACAACAAAGTCTCCAATGGAGACGTTACTGGGCCTGCTTGAGCAAATCGATGAACAACGGGAGAACAGTGACAGATCACTGAGTAATTCCTATTTGTTCAATACTGGGTTAAACTCTCTTTAATTTCACCCTTGGTCTCGTAAATTGGGTATCATCCTTTTAGTGTGTGAGGGTGGTAATTCCATCCATTCCCACAGCTGGTAATCAGTGGCGTTGGAATTTAAGACCAAAGTCCAGACACTCTGAGCCACAGTGCTCTTCCCTCTCTGTGCTGATAGGTTAGTGCTTGGTTATGTTTTATTTGGGTTTTACTTTTCATTTTTTAGAAAAATGTTTTCCCCCCCTTTTTGGTGTTTGGACCACACTAGGCTACGTTCAAGGATCACTCCTGGTGGACTCAGGAATCATTAGCGGGGGCCAGGGTTTGAACCTGGCTAATAGCATGTGAGGCAAGGGCCTTATTTGCCGCATTATTGAGCCCTTTTCCATGTATTTTTTGTACCGCATGCCTCCTTTAAACCCGTGATAACACTGTGTAACTATTTTTAGCCCATAGGAGACATGTTCTTTTGTCTGGTAGTCCTTTTAGCTTCATCCAGCGTACACATAGAGTGAGCAACTTATAAGCTTTGGGGGCTAAGATAGCTTTATTAGTAAAACAACTTTGTACCAAGTTATTAATAGTTAAAGCTTGAGGCATAAAATATCAGCTTGGTGAATCTGTCTAAGGCAGTCATCTTACTTATTTTTAGGGAATGGATTTTCTTTTGAGACTGGAGGGTTAATTCAGGGGGAAAGGTATTTGCCTGCACAGCGGGTAGGGCGTTTGCCTTACAAGCGGCCAACATGGCCGACCCGAGTTCGATTCCTCCGCCCCTCTCGGAGAGCCCGGCAAGCTACCGAGAGCATTCGATATGCCAGACACAGTAACAACAAAGTCTCCAATGGAGACGTTACTGGGCCCGCTCGAGCAAATCGACGATCAACGGGAGGGCCTTTACCTTTATAACCACTCACTTATCCACAACCCTGATTCCAGTCTTGCTAGCACTTATCGTGCCTAGAATATCCCCAGGAGTCACCTCTGAGCACAGAGCCAGGAATAGCCCCTATATACTGTTAGGTAGGGGCACCTCCCAATTCATTCAGAATTTTTTTGAAGCATAAATTTAATTTTATTTTTAATAGGGGCCACATGCAGCAGTGTCAGGTACTAGGGATAGCATCTAGTGATGCTCAACTCCTTTTTTTAAAATTTTTTTTTATTAGTGAAACACCATGAGGTACAGTTGTAGACTTACAAGTTGTTGTGCTTGGGTTTCAGTTATGCAATGATCGAGTACCCATCCCACCACCGGTGCCCATTCTCTACCCCGATCAATCCCAGTATCCCTCCCACTCCCCCATCCCCCATCCCACCCTGCCTCTGTGTCAGGGCACTCCCTTTTGTTCTGTCTCTCCTTTTGGGTGCTGTGGTCTGCAGAAGAAACCTTGGGTGCCAATCATGTTCGGTCCATAGATAACGTTCAGCAGAGACTGGCCCACATTCAAAAGAACAAAAGCAACCTGTGTTGGCGCGGATGTGGCGAGAAAGGGACCCTCCTTCACGGCTGGTGGGAATGCCGACTGGTTCAGCCCTTTTGGAAAACTGTATGGACAACTCTCAAAAAATTAGAAATTGAGCTCCCATTTGACCCAGCAATACCACTCCTGGGAATATACCCCGGAGAGGCCAAAAAGTATGATGCTCAACTCTTAACTGTGCTCTGGCTATGGACTGAGGAGAGATAGGGAGGTCACACAGTCCTACGGAGTTAACTAAGGGCCTGCATACACTGGGCATGTATTCTACTACTAATCTCCTCAGCCAAAGTTCTCTAAAGAAGAGAGGTTATCGTTTGGTCTTTAATCTTGAACCTTCACTTGATATTGCAATAGAATCACTGGTTTACATTTTCAAATAGTAATGGGCTGGAGCGATAACACAGTCGGTAGGGCACTTGCCTTGCACGCGGCTGACTGGGCCGACCCGAGTTTGATTCCTCCGCCCCTCTCGGAGAGCTCAGGAAGCTACCGAGAGTATCTCACCCGCACGGCAAAGCCGGGCAAGCTACCTGTGAGGTATTTGATATGCCAAACACAGTATCAACAAGTCTCACAATGTCTTGCAAGTCGATAACGGGAGGACAGTGACAGTGACAGTGATAATGCCACAGGCAGCAGTGCTCAGGGCTTACTCCTGGCTCTATGGTCAGGGTTTACTCCAGGCTACAGGGACCACCTGGAGTGCCAGGGTTTCAAAATGGGTTGGCTGTGTGTCGGGCAAGCACCTTAAGCCTTGTACTATCTTTCTTATTTTTATTTTTATTTTTGTTTTTATTTTTTTGCTTTTTGGGTCACATCTGGCGATGCACAGGAGTTACTCTTGGCTCTGCACTCAGGAGTTACTCCTGGCGGTGCTCAGGGGACCATATGGGATGCTGGGAATTGAACCCGGGTCGGCCGCATGCAAGGCAAACGCCCTACCCGCTGTGCTATCTCTCCAGCTCCAAGCCTTGTACTATCTTTCTGAACCCATTAGTAATAGCATTTTAAAGCGGTCAGTATTTATGAGATTTAATTTCATGCCGTTGACTGTTAATGTGTGGAAATGCTAAGGAAATCCTATTGCCTCAATGTTAATTTTTCTTTTGCAGGTGGAGTAATGTTAAACGGTGAAGGAACAGCCATGGATACTCAGGGAATTTTGGCAAATAAAGGTGATTGATAATTTAAAATAATGCTTCTTATTAACTTTTTTGAGAGAGAGAGAGAATAGATGTGAATAGTGGTTATAATGAAATTTCAAGTTGAAATTTATCTGATCTTCCAAGTTTTAAAACCGCTCCTTAGAGCAGTTTTATAATAATAATAATAATAATAATAGGTAAAGGCCCTCCCGTTGTTCATCGATTTGCTCGAGCGGGCCCAGTAACGTCTCCATTGGAGACTTTGTTGTTCCTGTGTCTGGCATATCCAATACGTCACGGGGAGCTTGCCAGGCTCTGCCGTGCGGGCGAGATCCTCTCGGTAGCTTGCCGGGCTCTCTGAGAGGGGCGGAGGAATCGAACTCGGGTCGGCCACGTTGTCTACGTGCAAGGCAAACGCCCTACTGCAGTGCTATCCCATAATGATAATAATAATAATAATAATAATAATATTCTAGTAGGTTTGCCACTGACAAAATAGAAGGAAGCAATGGTGCCAAGCAAACTTTTTGTTTATAGAGCTCTGCCCTAAGAACTCTGAAAATATGTCGGTGTTATTTTTTGGTTTTGGCCACACCAGTGGTGCTCAGGGATTATGTCTGTCAGGAATCACTCCTGGAGGACTCCGAGTCCTATTTGGGATGTTGGGAATCGAACCTGTGTCAACTCTGTGCAAGGCATGTGTCCTCCCTGCGTCACTCTTCACTTCTGCTCAATATTATTATTTTTGTTTGTCTTGAAAATTTCAGGGTTAACATCCATCAAAAAGGACATGACTGACATAAACCACAGTTATGAAGATCTTGGCCTCTTACTCAAGGATAAAATATCAGAACTGAATGCTAAACTCTCCAAATTGCAAAAGGCTCAGGAAGAATCCAGCGCGATGATGCAGTGGCTGGAGAAGATGAACCAGACGGCGGCGAAGTGGCATCAGGCACCGACCCCGACAGACACGGAAGCTGTGAAGACGCAAGTCGAGCAGAATAAGGTAGACTCGGAGGGCCCAGTCCACGAGAGATTCACATTCAACTGGTCTTGGTGATCAGGAGACCGGGATCCTAGGTCTGTGATCATCAGCATGTAGTTGGCCAGTTTTCGTGCCTTTCTGCCAAGATGAGATATAAAAATGAGCGAGCTGTTGTATATAAGTAGTCCTGCTGCTTTTAGAGTAGTTTATTTTTATTACTTATTTATTTATTTGGCTGGAGCGATAGCACAGCGGGTAGGGCGTTCGCCTTACAAGCGGCCAACATGGCCGACCCGAGTTCGATTCCTCCGCCCCTCTCGGAGAGCCCGGCAAGCTACCGAGAGTATTCGATATGCCAGACACAGTAACAACAAAGTCTCCAATGGAGACGTCACTGGGCCCGCTCGAGCAAATCGACGATCAACGGGAGGGCCTTTACCTTTACCTTTTATTTATTTATTTATTTATTTATTGGCTTTTTGGGCCACACCCGGAGATGCACAGGGGTTACTCCTGGCTCTGCACTCAGGAATTACCCCTGATGGTGCTCAGGGGACTCTATGGCATGCTGGGAATCGAACCCGGGTTGGCCGCGTGCAAGGCAAATGCCCTACTCGCTGTACTATCGCTTCAGTCCCTTTTTTAGTAGTTCAAATCTATTATTTTAACAGTTAATTATTGGAAAAGATTTGAGGGCCAAATGCATTAGGGTTCTATTCTCTTCTATTTAAGTAGGATGACTTTTTTTTAAAAAGAGGGATAGCTTTTTTCTTCCCCTTTTTCAATACATGGTATTTCTTTTACACCTGGAAAGACTGAGAAAATAGTTTTCGATTGTAACAATGATGGCAAGAATGTTCTGGAATGACAAATATTTTTTGAACAAAAATGATTTATTTTTTATTAGCATCCCCAGAATGAATAATTAAAAAGTTTAATTTAATGTGTTATCTAGGAAATTGCTTATTAAGTAGTAGATTCTCAAATCTGTCAGACTTTATCAATAGTGAGCCTCTACTAATTAGAAACTTACTAATTTCATCTTCTTTTTTCCCCCAAGATGGATATGTTTTAGAATAATAACAAATTTCCTTCTACATAGTGGGACCAGAGTTACCATCTCTCTAGTATTAGTATTCCTCTTCAGGATTTTGTTTCAGATAGTTGGAGATTAATTAAGAAGAGGAAAGGAAAATAAATGGTTCTAAATTCAGGGCATCACCTACTTCAGTGTTTGATAGTGGATTTTTTTCCCCCTATTTGGGTCATGCTAAGGGGCAAATGCTTTATTTTAATTGTGGTTCTGAGTTTTGTTTGATGTGGAGTTATTTAATATATTTCATTTTATTTCCCCCACCCCCGTCTTAGTCTTTTGAGGCGGAACTTAAGCAAAATGTAAACAAAGTGCAGGAGTTGAAAGACAAATTGACAGAGCTTTTGGACGAGAACCCAAACACTCCCGACACCCCCAAATGGAAGCAGCTGTTGGCAGAAATAGGTATGTTATGTTGCCTCCACCAGAGTCCATGAACAGAAGCTTAATCTTTTAAAAATCAGAGCCTTTATCTGAAAATATTTATGTAATGGTCATAGTTCTGCTTTAATTATTTTAATGTTTCAGGATTCATTTTTGCACATTCGGAAATAAGTGTTTCAAGTTTATTGTATTGCAACTTAGCAATTCTTGGGGGTTTCTTTTGTTTGTTTTTTGTTTTTGCTGAGCACAGTATAACAAACAATAAACACTGTCCTCCCGTTGTTCATCGATTTGCTCGAGCGGGCCCAGTAACGTCTCCATGTTGAGACTTGTTGTTACTGTGTTTGGCATATCGAATACGTCACGGGGAGCTTGCCAGGCTCTGCCGTGCGGGCGAGATACTCTCAGTAGCTTCCCGGGCTCTCCGAGAGGGGCAGAGGAATCGAACCCAGCTTGGACGGGCTGGCTGCGTGCAAGGCAAACACCCTACCGCTACGCTATAACTCCAGCCAGTATATTTATTTTTATTTATTCATTAATTTATTTTAGTTCGGGGCCATACCCAGCAATGCTCAGGACTTCCTCCTGACTGTGCTCAGGGATCACTCCCAGCAGTGCTCCGGGGACCTTGTGTGGTGCCAGGGATTGAACCAGTGTTGGGATTGATGCAAGTGCCTTACACGTGGTGCCATCTCTCTGGCCCCCAAAATCGCATTTTTCAAAGTGTTTTAGTTTTCATTTTTAAAGAAATTACTCAGAATGAGTTGAATTACAATTGATAATGTTAATTGTATTGGTGCAATTCAGGGAAACTTATTAGAAGACTAATAGTTTGAGTCTGTGGTTCTCAGTCTGTGTTTCTGGAAATAGCAAACTTAGCATCACCGGGACACTTGTTAGAAATGCGGAGTTTCAGGCTGCACTTCAGATCTGTTTTTTCAGAAACTATCACCCTGGGATCTAGGAATCTGTATTAAAGACTCTCCTGGTGATTCTAATGCTGCTAATGTTTGAGAACCAATAATCTAAGCGAAACATCCTGAGGTCAGAAATGAAGTTCTGGTTACTGGGAATGTAAAAGGTGCACTGAGTTTTTATACTCTAGGAGATGAGAATGTGAAAGTCTAATTAAATATTGTTATGAATCATTGGGAGCCAATGTGACCTTTGCAAGAAATCTAAAAGTCAGAAAAAGGCTACCAATTTTTAATAGGAATACATTTAGTTTTAATCAGAAAAAGGCTACCAATTTTAATAGGAATACATTTTGTTTGAACTAGAAAAAGCCTACCAATTTTAATAGGAATACTTTTTTTTTCTTAAAGGTGAGTTTTAGAGAGTTGATGAGGTTTTTCAGTGTAATATTTGAGCACCTGGTTACTAGTGGGTGGTTTGAATAGAAGAAAAGGATTGGACTAGATAAGCAAATTTGGGGATCGTTTGCCTAGACTAGATCACTGAAAATTTACTATAAAAGAACAAATGTCTGTTGCTCTAAGGTCAGTATTGTTGACTAAACAGACTCTACCAGAAGCAATAATACCTTAGGAACATGGGGCTTTATGGAATATTCCATATTTTCTAATTCCATTTAAAATCGAACTCAGACATATTTTCCCTGGACTTTTGTTCACACTCAATTCGCAAGCCCGTGAGATCTGCATAGTTAAATGGAATTCTCTTAGGTTAGGTTTTACATGAATTACAGATGAAAAAATGTTAGTTTCATTTATGCAATGCAGGCAAATTTGTTAGAAGACTCATCAGCTGCATAGGACGACATATAGGCGGCACTCGGCATCTTTTCCGTTTTCTCCTCCAGTCTTTCTCGATCCTGTGATATTTTGCATGGAAAGAAACCACCACAAACGTATCCCTTCTCTTTTAGATCACAAGTGGCAGGAACTCAATCAATTAACAGTTGATAGACAACAAAAACTGGAAGAATCCTCTAACAATCTAACCCAGTTCCAAACCATCGAGGCTCAGTTAAAACAGTGGCTTGTGGAAAAGGAACTTATGGTCAGCGTGCTCGGGCCCTTATCTATTGACCCAAATATGCTAAACACACAAAAGCAGCAGGTGCAGGTGAGTATGGTTTGACTGAACAAGACAGATGTTTCCGGTTTCATTCTAAACACGGTAGCTTTGAACACTGTGTGCCTTCAGTTCCTGGAGTCTATGTGCAGTGTTTCATATGTCCCTACCTAAGACGCCATCGTGAGGTTAATCCCACCATCCTTCCCTCTCAAGAACCAAATCTAGGAGCCCCCCCCCAGAATGGTCTAGTCCTGTAAACATTTCATATTGTAATTTGTGCAGACCCTAGGTTTTTTTTGGGGGGGGGTTTTGGGGGTGGGGTGGGGAAGGGGGTATTTTGAGCTGTAGCCGGTGGTGTTTAGGGCTATTTCTGGCCCTGTGCTCATGGGCAGACTGTTAAAAAAAATAACACGACTGTCTTTGAAGTATTAATGTGATTGTATAAATAATAACATTTTTATGAGACACTAGCATAAGCTTTTTATTGTTTAGATACTGTCCCTTTGAGGTTTTATTCATCTTGATTGTGGCATTCGATAAGGAAACTTGTAAAGCTAATACACTAACATCACTGACAGGGACGCGTGGGGAGATGGAAGAGGAAGAGGAGAAAGATCAGGGAAGCAGCGAGTGGGCTCCTCCAGCCTCGGGGGTCGGGCAAAGCACATAAATTCCAGAAGGGGGAAATGGCCGTAAAATTTAAGTCCACTGAAATAGCAGAAGCTCCGTGGTCGTTTCCGTTAGATTTCTCTGTGACTTGGCGGCATTCGAGCAGTGAGATGCGGCTAATACAAGTCAGTCTTGGGAGTTCAGAGTCAGTTTAGAGTTTAGGGTTCTGGTTCATATATATCCTTAAGCTGAAGAAAGTGGAACCAGAAAGATTAGCATGCATTAATCCACGTTGCCCTTAAAATAATTAAGAAGGAAATTTGGGGGATTTTGTAATGAGTCTTTTGGGTCATACCTGGCGATGCACAGGGCTTACTCCTGGCTCTGCAATCAGGAGTTACTCCTGGTGGTGCTCAGGGGACCATATGGGATGCTGGGAATTGAACCCGGGTCGGCCGCGTGCCAGGCAAATGCCCTACCCACTGTGCTATTGCTCCAGCCCCATGAGCAGCCTTTTAAACTCAGGTTTATTGGCTAAATGTTTTGCATTTCAAGACTGTAAATACCAATGCATATTTTGGTTTTTTTTTTACTTTTGGGGTTACACCTGGTGATGCACAGAGGCTGCTCCTGGCTCTGCACCCAGGAGTTACTCCTGGCGTGCTCAGGGGACCATATGGGATGCTGGGAATCGAACCCGGGTCGACCGCGTTTAAGACAAATGCCCTACCCGCTGTTCTATGGCTCTAGCTCCATGCCAGTACATCTTACATTTTAGAAACTTCTACAGTCACTGAATTGAATTATTTCGTCTTATAAAACTGTTATTGCCATGCATTTCCTTAGGTAAATGCTATAGGGGTTTTCAGAATCTTGCAACCAGACAGAATAAGCAGGTTTGGTGCTAGTGTTATATGAATGTGGCCAAAAAGTGAAGTTTTTTTTTTTTGTGGGGTTGATGGTTCAGAGACTCAAACCTTGGGCCTCATACATGTGAGGCACGTGCCCTATTGCTGGACTGTGTCCCTACTCCCACCAACACACACAACATTTCTCTTTGTGCATGAAAGTTTTTTCCTGAATTGTACTCTTTTTGCCAGAAAATACAATCATTTTCTTTTTTTATTCCTTGAATGTTACTTTGGGGTTCCCCCACACACACACACACACACAGTGTGTGTGGCCACACTCAGTAGTGTTCAGGGCTTCCTCCTGGCCCTATGTTCAGGGATCACTCCTCGTAATCATCAGGCGACTGTATGTCATACTGGGGATGGAATCAGGAGGGCTGTGAGACCGGCAAGCACCTTAATACTTGTGTGATCGCTTGAGTCCAGGATGCTATTTTTAGGCTAGTTATCTCTGAAGTCGTAAGTGCTCCTTCGGTTGGTTTAAAATAAATATCCCACCTCCCCTTTTTAAGACAGTAACCTGTTATTCGATTGCCTCGAGCAGGCCCCAGTAACATCTCTTTCATCCTAGCCCTGAGATTATATTCAAGGCTCGTTAGGAGAATGAGACCCATCATTGTTACTGGTATTTGGCATATTTGGTAGGCCACGGGGAGTTTGCCAGACTCTGCCCTGTGGGCAGGCTACATTTGATAGCCTGCCAGTTTGTCCAAAATAGGAATGAGACAATAAGATGTCATAAAAAAAAGTTCTGATAAGATGTCGCGCGGCCGCTTCTGGATTTTATAGTCTCTGAGTCTTGGCCGCTGATGGGATTACACGGCGCCAGGGGGCCAGGTGGTGGGTGTGAAGACAGTAACCAACAAGTAGAAAATAAATATCTGCCATTTCTGCCTTCTTGGAAACTTGAAACTTAGTTTTCTGCCATTACCTGATAACTTGTGTGTGTATTTCCTCATCTTTCCCCTTCCCCTTAGATTTTACTGCAAGAATTTGATACTCGGAAACCTCAGTATGAACAGCTAACAGCAGCTGGCCAGAGCATCGTGCGCAAACCTGGCGAACACCCTTCTTTCCATGGGATCGTGAAAGAGCAGCTGGCAGCTGTCACCCAGAAGTGGGGCTGCCTCACCGGACAGTTGAGCGACAGATGTGACCGGATTGACCAAGCCATCGTGAAGAGCACCCAGTATCAAAGCTTGCTGAGGAGCCTCTCCAGTAAGCTGAACGACTTGGACAGTAGACTCAGCAGCAGTGCAGCGGTGAGCACGCAGCCCCATGCTGTGGACCAGCAGTTGGAAACAGCCCAGAAAATGAAGCAGGAAGTAGAGCAGGAAAGGAAGCAGGTACAAGTGGCCCAGACCCTCTGTGAGGATTTGTCATCCCTGGTGAAAGAAGAGTACTTGAAAGCAGAGCTCAGCAGGCAGCTGGAAGGCATCTTAAAATCGTTTAAGGATATCGAACAGAAAGCAGGTTGGTCTTTCCAGATATGTGCTGGGGATGGAGATCGCCCGTTGTCCATTTCCAAGCTCGTGGCTGTAATCCAGGACCCAGGACAGAGTCTGCCCCTTTGGGAAACGCAGGAGAAGAGGTGTCTGCCCACGAGAGCAGAGATGAGGGTCTTTGTTCATGTACACATGATTGGTTGGTTCTACACAGAGAAGAGAGAGTCGGCTGGTAAAAGTCCAGTTCGCGAGAGTCCATTCAAACCTTAGGTGTTCTGATTTGTATTTTATTTTTTATTTATTTATTTTTATTAATTAATTTATTTTGAATACCCATCCCTCCACCAGTGACCATTTCCGACCACCTCGAATCCCAGTAACCCTCCCACCCCCAACCCCCCCCCCCCATCTCACCCTGCCTCTGTGGCAGGGCATTCCCTTTTGTTCTCTCTCTCCCATTGGGTGTTGTGGCCTGTATAAGAGTTAAGCCTGGTTTTCAGGGAGAAATGTTGGATGATTTACTTTCCATTGATCACCTTGCATATAGGGAGATGTCGCGTGGCCGCATAAGCAGCCGCGCAGTTTCAAATAAAAGTCCTGGTTCCCGCATACTCGAGCTATGCTTGTAGAGGCTCACGGTCACCAGGGTTCCATCTGGAGGAGGCGGGATGCAGCACCTACCCCATCTGGGACTTCCCGGTGATCTCGGCTCTCTTCGGGACCTGGTGCATTCTCCAGGAGCTGTGGAGCCCCCTCCCCCCACCCCCGCCCCGCAGCCTTTCTTCTCTGTGACTGTGTGCTGTAAAGATGGCGCTGGGAGGAGGGTTGTGGGCATGACTTCTGGAATCAGAGGTTACCTGGGGGCCAGGGCAGTCCTGGCAGTTTGGAGGAAAAGTCCAAGTCCTGGTTCCCGCATACTCGAGCTATGCTTGTAGAGGTTCATGGTCACCAGGGTTCCATCTGGAGGAAGCAGGATGCAGCACCTACCCCATCTGGGACTTGTACTTTAACAGGTGTGAATGTTTTTCATTCTGTGACATTGCCCCAGAAAAGCAGGAGAATGCTATGATTAGAAAGCCTTTGTATAATTTGTTCGTTTGTAGCTATTCTGTCATAGAAAACTTCTCTAAAGAAAGGTTTGGAAGAGAAAAGCATTTGGCCCTGTTTTTGTCTTTCACCTACTTTGGCTTTAATTCAGTGACCGATGTACCCGTGTGTGTCAGAGGCAATAGGAGATACTGGACTTCCAAGAACCTACCATTGCAGAATGCCTTTGACTGCTGCTACATTTATTCTGTTGAGAAGTGACACTAGGTATCTAGAAATACCAGTGTAAAATTTTTAACGGATTTAATTTGTTCTTTATTACAGCAACCGTTTCAGACCGACTTATTTAGACACACTCTATATTTAGTAAATAGTCACTATTATGATTATTATCACTCATATGAACCTTTCTGTGGCAGTCATAAGCTAAACACTTTATGTGTAATATTCTCTAATTGTCACAGCAGCTTCTGTTGATGTTGCCAGTTTATATCTGGGGAACTGACAGTGATTTCATCATTTTACAGTTCTTATATGCCAAATACCAGTAACAATGATGGGTCTCATTCTCCTAAAGAGCCGTGAATATAATCTCAGGGCTAGGATGAAAGAGACGTTACTGGGGCCTGCTCGAGGCAATCGACGATTAACAGGATGATGAAATGAAATGAAAAAATGAAAACAGTTCTTAAGAAATTGAGCTGGGACTCAAATTTGTGTGCTCGTATATACTATATTATGTTAAATCTCGGATGTATCAAAATAAATTCAATGAAAAAGTCCTGTTTGATAAAGGGTGGGTTATCTCTCAGAATAAGTAGAACTTTGAGCCACTGTCATTTCCCTATATTGGAATAAATCTTGCCCTGTCTCTTTTCTTGTAGGGCCTGCCTCTTGTTCCTTTACTTCCCCTTTATCAATAACTTCCACTCATTTAGTAGTTTTCTCCTTATAAGATAGTGCTCGCAGTCCTTGCTTTTAGGCTGTTAGAGTTCCGTACACTTATCTGGTGCTTTTTTTTCCCCTTTTGGCTTTTCATCGGTCATATCGATATTTTCATGTAACATGGCTGTGATTTTATTTTCAGAGAATCATGTCCGGCACCTTCAGTCAGCCTGTGCCAGTTCCCATCAATTCCAGCAAATGTCCCGAGATTTCCAGGACTGGCTAGATACGAAGAAAGAAGAACAGAATAAGTCTCACCCAATATCAGCCAAACTTGATGTCTTAAAATCGCTAGTTGAAGACCAAAAACAATTCAGTGAAACTTTGAACGAGCAGTCCAATTATGAGAAAACTATTGCAGAAGGCGAAAATCTGTTACTAAAGGCCCAGGGCTCCGAGAAGGCGGCCTTGCAGTCACAACTCAATACCATCAAAACCAACTGGGATGGGTTTAAGAAGCAAGTGAAAGAAAAAGAGGACAGAGTAAAAGACGCCCTGGGAAAAGCCCTCAAATATCAAGAGCATGTCGAGACTCTTCGGCCGTGGATAGAAAAATGTCAGAGTAACCTGGAGGAAATCAAATTTTCCTTGGATCCTGCTGAAACAGAGAATTCTATTGCCAAGTTAAAATCTCTGCAGAAGGAAACGGACCAACACTTTGGGATGGTTGAATTGCTCAACAACGCAGCCAACAGCCTGCTCAGTGTCTGTGAGACCGATAAAGAGGTTGTTACGGAGGAGAACAGATCGCTGATCGAGAAAATGGACAGGGTCACTGAGCAACTTCACAGCAAGAAATCCTCCCTGGAGAACATGGCCCAGAAGTTTAAAGAATTTCAGGACGTTTCCAAGGAAGCTCAGAGGCAGCTTCAGTGCGCAAAGGAGCAGCTGGACGTACACGATTCCCTTGGACCCCAGGCTTACAGTAACAAACACTTGATGATGATGCAGACTCAGCAGAAATCCCTGAAGACGTTGAAGCAGCAGGTTGATTTGTCGAAAGAACTTGCACAGGCCCTTGTGCTGGAAACATCCGATTCTAAGGGGACCTCTGACATCTTACTCCAGGCAGAAACCTTAGCTCAGGAACATCGAGAACTCAGCCGGCAGGTGGATGAGAAGTGTTCGTTCTTAGAAACGAAGCTTCAGGGCATTGGGCATTTCCAGGATACCATCCGGGAAATGTTTTCTCAGTTTGCGGAGTTTGACGATGAACTCGACAGCATGGCCCCGGTGGGCAGAGAGGTGGAAACGTTGCAGAAGCAGAAGGAGGCGATGAAGGTCTTTCTGGAGAAACTGGCAGCACTCATGACAAGCAACGACCATGCCAATCGGACCTGCCAAATGATGCTGGCTACGGAGGACACCACTCCCGACCTCGTGGGGATCAAAAGAGACTTAGAGGCGCTCAGCAAACAGTGCCACAAGTTGCTGGACCGAGCCCAGGCTCGGAAAGAGCAGGTGGATGGGACAATCGAACGTGTCGAGGAATTCTACAACAAGCTCAAAGACTTCTCCACTAGGCTTCAGGAAGCCGAAGAACATGAAGAGTCTCAGGGACCCGTTGGTATGGAGACGGAGGCCATTAACCAACAGCTTGATGTGTTCAAGGTAGGGAATTCTTCCTCTCTGCTGAGCATTTTTATTATGCAAAGGAATTCGCAATTTGGTAGAGGTACGAGATGGCCTATTTTGTAAAACCTTCCAACATCCCCGCCGCACGAGACGGGATGAGTGTATTGGGGTTATAAGTTGGGCATGCAGGACAGTTTACTGAGGACTCAGCTCCTTCTGGATTCAAGCTGGAGATAATTTTAAGAGGTCAGAAGAGAGCTTGAAATGGCCATCATTGAGGGGTCTCCGGTTTTATTGACAGTTGACATCTCAGGGAATTAGGGCCATGTTTGAGCTCGGAGCCAGGATCTGTCCATTACATAAAAGCTTGTTCTCTTCACACAGCCCCCTTTCTCCGTGATGAACTAAGGTCTCTTCTTGCTCTCTCCCTCTTTATTATCTCTATCTTTTGCCGTTAAAGACTTTTTCTTGTAAATATTTGATTCTTCCCAAAGTTCATATATATTTATTTTTTAAAAGCAGCGAATGTTGCACAAAACACAGACCTTTGACTCATTTCCTAGGGGCCAAAGCAAAGAGTGAAAGTGAATTATTTTTTTAAATTTTTTAAAATTTTTTTATTAACGAGACACCATGAGGTACAGTTGTAGACTTACAATTTTACTAATTTTTGTGCTTGGAATTCAATTATACAATGATCAAGTACCCAACCCTCCACCAGTGCCCATTTCCCACCACCACTCATCCCAGTATCCCTCCCACCCCCCATCCTCCCCTCTCACCCTGCCTCTGTGGCAGGGTATTCCCCCTTGTTCTCTCTCTCTTCTTTTGGGTCCTGTGTTTTGCAAGAGAGGCATTGAGTGGCAATCATGTTCGGTCTATAGTCTACTTTCAGCATGCATCTCCCATCCTGGGAGGATCCTCCAAACACCCTTTACTTGGTGCTCCCTTCTCTATCTGAGCTCCCTTTTCTCCTAGCATGTGTGGCTGGCCTCCACGCCATGAAGTAAAATTCCTGGTACTATTCTCGGCCATTCTTGGGTGTTAGTCTCCTATTTTGTTACTTTATGTTCCCCAGATGAATGCAGTCTTTCTATGTCTATCCCTCTCTTTCTGACTCATTTCGCTTAGCATGATACTTTCCATGTTGTACCACTTGTATGTAAATTTCATGACTTCATCTTTTCTAACAGCTACATAGTACTCCACTGTGTAGATGTACCAAAGTTTCTTTAACCAGTCATCTGTTTTCAGGCACTAAAGTTTTTTTCCAGATTCTGGCTATTGTAAACAGTGCTGCAATTAAAAAAACAAGTGTAGATGTCACTTCGACTATACATTTTTGCCTCTCTGTGATATATTCTCAGGAGTGGTATTGCGGGGTCAAATGGAAGCTAAGTTTCTAATTTTTTGAGAATCGTCCATACTGTTTTCCAGAAGGGCTGAACCAGTGGACATTCCCACCAACAGTGAAGGAGTGTCCCTTTCTCGCCACATCCGCGCCAGCATGGGTTGCTTTTGTTCTTTTGGATGCGGGCCAGTCTCTGAGGTGTGAGATGGTATCTCATTGTGGTTTTAATCTGCATTTTCCTGATGATTAATGATGTCGAGCATTTTCTCATGTGCTTTGTTTGCCATTCGGATTTCTTCTTTGAGAAAGTTTCTGTTCGTTCATTTCCTCGCCCCATTTTTTGGTGGGGTTGGATGTTTTCTTCTTGTGGAGTTCAACCAGTGAGAGAGAATTATTTTTGATGGTCACGCAAGGCCCCCAGGTGCCAAGATACAGCTGCCAACTGAGAGTGCTCAGTGACGCTTGATGAGTGGAGAGTAGATTACAATGGTAACTGGGTTCCATGTCCTGGAATTTTCTTCATTCTCGATAGTGACCAGAGATGGCATCTGGGGACAACATTGGGTGTCCTCATGTTCAGAAATGGTTCTAAATAAGCAAGCATTTGCAGCAAAAGGTCGGATCATTTTTGTGTGTGTGTTGGGGGCTGGGACAGGGCACTCTGAGCAGTGCTCAGGGGCCGTACTTGGCTATGTGCTCAAGGGACCATGTTTGTTCCAATATTACAGGCCCAGCGACAGAGTTAGAAAGGACCTTACCATCCATACTGTCTTTCCTGCCCAGGCCCTGTTCTGTTCATGAGTTGGGATTGACCAGTGAAAGATAAGTCCCACCACTAGCCCGGAAAGGATCAAACGAGGCTAAATAAAAACAGCGCCTGAACAACCGAAAAATGTTTTCATGAGAAATAAATATAGATCAAATGGACTTCTGGAATTTTGTGCTGTTATAGTTGCTGCAGAGTTTCCTTGATTATCCTTAGTAAGATTATTTAGATGGCTGAATTTTGAAAAATACCTCCTCTTTCTGTTTCAGTTAGTTGCTGTTTATATGTTGTCCTGGAAGTCCAGGTCTTCTTTCTAGGCTTGAAAATCTCCGATTCTTCTAGTTGGATCTTGATGTTGGGTGGGGGATGGGGCTTGAGGGCACATCGGTTGTGCTCAGGAACTCTTCTCGGCTCTGCTCAGTAGTGACCCACGGTGGTACGCAGGGGACCCTGTGTGGTGCCAGGGATTCTAACCCAGTTCTGTGGGGTGTCAGGCAAGCTCTTTAAACTCTATGTTGCCTCTCCAGCCCTTGTTTTCTGGTGGTGAAGGAAGCATCCTAATGGTTAATTTTATGACTTCCTTCATTGGTCTGAATCTTGCATATGTCTGATTTGCAAAATAAGAACCTCATACAAAAGAGTTCTCTTCAGAAAAACATAAGTTCTGTGGCAGTTGCTGCTTCAAAGACTAGAGGGAAGCGTGTGTGGAGTGACCCTTCCCAGAAGAGAAAACTTAAGTTTTCATAGACTCCTGAGAAGACATCAAAGTTTAAATGACGATAATCGGATAGTCTTTGTCACTAATGAAATTAAACCATGTTCATTACCTTTGTACAACATCGTTCTCTTGGGTGAAATAGGCAAACACAACAACAACAACAACAACAAGAGTAGGTTGTGACTGAGTTGATAGAGCACAAGATACACGAGGCTCAAGACACCACTGTGGGGGCTGGAGAGATAGCACAGCGGGGAGGGCGTTTGCCTTGCACGCGGCCGACCCAGGTTCGATTCCCAGCATCCCATAGGGTCCCCTGAGCACCGCCAGGAGTAACTCCTGAGTGCAGAGCCAGGCGTAAGCCCTGTGCATCACCAGGTGTGACCCAAAAAGAAAAAAAGACACACCACTGTGGGGGTAATGTGGGAGATGGTGGGGAGGCCTTCATTTATCTTTATGATGTCAACTACTCTTAAGAAAATACACAGAAGTGATAATATTAATGCTGGTGCTAGTAGGTTTCTTTTCATTGTGTTCCTAAGAATGAGTCCACAGTGAAAATGTGCCTCTCCATCTGGGGAATCCTTTGGAAAGCAAAAAGCATCAAGAGATTTAGGAATTAACGCTCTCATCTTTGCTTGAAGAGTGTGTTTTGCAGGGTGAAAAGCACTAAATAAGCATCATTACCATTACCAATTAGAGATTGTTTTGATCGCAAAGAGAATTGAAGTGATCACGTCTTCTAAAATAAGCCACTTAGCATACTCTGTTTGCTCTCTTCTCTGATTATTTTGAAAGGAGTTGATTGATTTTAACAAAACATAGTCGTAATAAATACCACGACATATCTCCACACTCTTGAGATCCAGTGATTAAAACAAGGTGGACAAATCTTTGCATTTAATATAACTATAGTTCCATAGGTTAAGAGAAAGATGGAGAGAGAGAGAGAGAGAGAGAGAGAAATTACTATAGGAAATAAAGATGGTTATTTATGTAGTCAATAGGTTTTTTTTCTTATTTATATGTGTGTGCTCAGAAAAGAGAAGTTACAGGAATTAACATTTAACTGTGGACTTAATGTATCTATCTTTGTTCTAAACTCTCTGCCTTTAATTCTCTTAAGAATCTTGAGCGTGGATGACGTTATTCCTTCCATTGTATTGTAGGGCAGCTGACCCAGGTTGGCTGAGTGCCTTTCCCAAGGTCAAACAGCAGGTAGTAAGTGACAGGGCTTGGGTGTTTTTGTTGGAAATAAGACTATGTTTTGTGTCAACTTTATTCATCATATTCCACTCTAATATTTCCTCGAGAAATATTTCAGATTGTTTTCGCTGCCCTTGAATTGGATTGGTTTGGGTAATCATCCATTACTCACTTTAATCCTTCACCGTCTCTTTGAGAAAAGTGTACTAATAAAACAGATTGCTTTGAAAAGCGTGGGAAATCCTGAATGTATCAAACCTATGTAGAGAGAGTGTGAGGATGATAGATGATAACAGTGACCACCATCACTGAGTTAGAACTCAACATTTCATCGTGAAGTGGATATATCTTCTTCTCAGCATGGAAGGAGGGTTAGCTCCTCAGGCAGTGCTCAGGGAGCTCCAGGACCACACCCAGAAGTGCTGGGACGGCCCACTGCATGGTGCTGGGCATTGAACCTGGTCCGTGTGCCCCTCCATGTGTGCTGTCTCCCTGGTTCAGTTTTATCTTTCTTGATTAAAGTTTTGATTTCAGATCTAAATTCGCTTTTTGTTGGATATTAGGCATTAGTTTTAACATACTGCTTTAAGAGAATTGAATTTTTTTCCAGTGGTATAATATATCTCAAGTGAAAGAAACTAATAGTTTACTGAAAATAGCAAACTACTAAAATTGTAAATTCTAAAAATGAAACAAAGCAGTGAAATACTGATTTTTCTCATCATTATAAAATAGTTGTTTGACTTTATTCTCTCTGATAGCTTTATTTAATTTAATGTCATGGATAAATCTTGAAACATTGTCTCATAAAATAAATTGGGCTGGGGGAGAGAGAGAGAGAGAGAGAGAGAGAGAGAGAGAGAGAGAGAGAGAGAGAGAGAGAGAGAGAGTTCAGTGGGTAAGGTACTTGCCTTGCAAGCGGTCCAACTGGCTTTGATTCCTGTCACTCTGTTGGTTCCTTGAGCCCATCAGGAATAAGTCCTGAGTACTGCCAG